ACCGAAGATTCCAAAACAATGAATACCTTTTTTATGCCTTATCAACCGTTGAATTATATAAGGCTCGACAAAACGTTTCTGTTTGTGGTAGATTGCGGAAAGATGGCATAGAACCCAGAGACTTAGTACAAAACGTTCATTTAGTAATGAGGAATATAAGAGGTACACAATCATACTGGCATAAAGCGTACACTGATTTATTAGCTATGGTAAAAAATTTAGGTCCTCCACACTGGTATATCACTTTGTCTTGCAACGATCTGAATTGGCCTGATATGTTGCGTGCCTTATTAGTAGCTGATGGACGCTCCGAATCTGATATTGATAATTTAACATATCAAGATAAATTGGGCCTTATAGAATCATACCCCGTGACTTTGGCACGGCAGTTTATGTTTAGGTTAAATGCATTTTTTAGACTTCTAAAGAAAGACACCAATCCAATTTTGGCTCGAAAAGTGGAAGATTTTTGGTGGCGAATAGAATTTCAATTACGTGGTAGTCCACATGTGCATATGGTGATATGGTGCCAGAACATGCCTTCTTTTGAAAGCCGCGAAGGCATTGAATTAATAGATAGTGTAATTACTTGCGAAATACCTGATGCAGAGGATGATCCGGAAATGAATAATTTAGTTAGACGTTTGCAAACGCACAAACACACTCATACTTGTTTTAAAAATGGAAATCAATGTCGATTTAGTTTTCCGCGATTGACTTCAGGTACAACTAAAATTTTGGATGATGAAGATGCTGTACGCAATGGCGGCAGATTTTGCATTCTTAAGAGAAATGCTAATGAAACGATGATTAACAATTATAATGCTAGAATATTGAAAGTTTGGCGCGCAAACATAGACATCCAACCATGTGGTTCTGCTTTGGGTGTAGCATATTACATTTCAAAATATATATCGAAGTCTGAACCGGCTGAAATATCTAGGTCTATACGGGAATCTATTAGAAAAGTTCAAGAACGAGGCGGAAGTTTTGCAAATCAGATCTTTGCAATGCAAAACGCCATTTTAACACATCGCGAAGTGTCAGCAACGGAATGTGCTTATCGTCTCTGCCATTTGAAGTTACGTGATAGTTCTCGAAAATGCGTTTTTGTTAATACTTGTGCTCCATCTCAAAGATACCGTATGTTGCGCGTAGATTTTTCAGAAAATTCGGAACCATTTCAAAATGTGTTTGATAAGTATGTTTGTCGACCCCATAATTTGGAATCTCTAAGCTTAGGCGAATTTGCAGTTCAGTTTGAGACAATAACAAGCATTGATATGTCTGAAGATAATCAGGATGCTGATGCTTATGCTCATGATGATGAGAATACCGTAACTCGACCGAGAATTATCACATTATTAGATAATGCAGGACGAATGAAAGCTAGAACTCGTCCCGCAATTTTACGGACCAGATATTATACGGCTTCTTCAGACCAAGAGGCCTATTATTATTCTCTGTTGGTAACACATGTTCCTTTTAGAGCAGAAGAAGAATTATTGGACGGGTTTGAAACTGCCAAAGAAGCTTTTATGAGTAAAAGGCATTTGCTTCGGCCATTACATAATGATTACAATGCGGAAACAATGTCAAGATGGGAATCGGAAATTCAACAAGCTATTAGTCGTCTTGTGGCAGAAAACGCAGCGACTTATATGATAGAACACGATGAAAATAATAATACGCAACTGCCTTTGAGAAGGGAGAACGATAACTGCATATTATTAGATCAAGAAGAAGAGTTCGAAGAAAATGAAATAAGGTTTTCTGATACAGAATTTGAACGTGCTGTTTCCTCTTTGAACATTCAGCAAAGAAATCTTTTCAAAAAAGTGTCTCAGAAACTGTTAAATAATGACAATGAAAATCCTCTTCGAATGTTTGTTACCGGTGGGGCCGGAACGGGAAAAACGTTTACATTAAAATTAATCGTAGAAGAAGTAAGGAGGCTCCGTAATAATAATATACAAGAAAAATCTATCATTGTGACTGCACCAACTGGTGTAGCAGCCCGGTTGATAGGTGGAAGTACCCTTCATTCGACGTTCACACTACCAATAGAAAAGGGTAGACCAGAAAACTTGCGACTTTTGACTGGCGAACGTCTTCAAAAACAACGACAAAAATGGAAATCTATAGATTGGGTAATAATAGATGAGATTTCTATGGTGCCGTACATAACACTACGAAATATAAATTTACGACTGCAACAACTCAAACACAATCAACTTCACTTTGGTGGTTGTAATATAATTTTGTTTGGCGATCTAATGCAATTGCCACCTGTGTCGAAAACAACTGGCGGGGCTTATTGCTTTCGTCAACCTGCGACGTTAACAGCTGAAGTTAACCTCTGGAAGCTTTTTGATTTCTGTGAATTACCTCAAAATATGAGACAAGGGCATGATACTACATTTGTGGATATATTAAATAACCTAAGAGTGGGACAGCTGACTATGCAACAATTGGAAATATTAGATAGCCGACGAGTAGATGAAAATGATCTCAATGAAGTAATTCGAGTTTTTCCTACCACTAAACAGGTTGATGAACATAATATTAAGATGACATCCATATTGAAGAACAACACAAAATTATATAAAGTACATGCAGTAGATGTATCAGTTGAAATTAAGACATATGGTCAAAAACCTAAAGATGCATATATTTCTGATGACCCTAACAAAACTGGAGGAATTCTAAAATGTTTGACAATCGGATTAGGATCAAGAGTTATGTTACGGAGAAATTTGCACGTTGATCACGGCCTTGTCAACGGAGCAATGGGTGTTGTTAGGGCAATTGAGTGGCCAGCTCTTCGGAAGGACCAAATTGAACCTGGAGAATTGCCACAGGCTGTTTTTGTAGAATTTGATGACAAGTCCATTAAACATAATGTCCCTGGGTTAGGGGTCAGAATTGAACCTACAACGACCGAATTCGATGCACTTCGTGGGCAAGGCAAAATAGAAAGAAAAATGTTGCCGTTGATATTATGCTGGGGTGTTACTGTACATAAGTTACAAGGAACTACTTTAGACCGAGCTGTGGTTGATTTAAGTTCACGTATTTTTGCAAAAGGTCAAGCTTATGTAGCTTTGAGCCGGGTTAGGTCTCTTGATGGATTGATCATTAGTAGTTTAGACCCACGCAAGTTACTTCATAATCCCCACGATATTAACTCGCTCAATGAAATGACAAGATTGCGGAATTTGCCATCTGATGATCGATAATATTAACTAAAAAGTGTAAAATAAAAAAAGTAAATTAAAAAAATCAAAAAACCCGACTGCTTAATTAATTTACTTGTACTAAAAACTGAAAAGAAAAAAACAAGTCCAGTAGCCAGAATTCTGTAAAGTAATATTTAATTAATACACAATTAAATAGTTTCATGACCAATACACACAAAACAATTATAAAATTCTAATGCAGAACATAACGTCTTTAACAGTCGGGACCCATTATTAAGAATATTCGATCCGATCTAAAATATTGAATGGGTCCCGACTATTGAAGACGTTATGTTCTGCATTAGAATTTTATAATTGTTTTGTGTGTATTGGTCATGAAACTATTTAATTGTGTATTAATTAAATATTACTTTACAGAATTCTGGCTACTGGACTTGTTTTTTTCTTTTCAGTTTTTAGTACAAGTAAATTAATTAAGCAGTCGGGTTTTTTGATTTTTTTAATTTATTTACTAATATAAGGTGAGGTTTTAATTTTATTTCTTTACGGCCTTGAAGTCAATCATACAGCCAAGTTTCACACACAGATAAACGTAGGTTCTATACTCTTTGGACATAAATTAATAAGATTAAGTCTAGAGTTTTACATAGATTAGCTTTGTTTAAGGTTGAATTGGGGGTTTTTGGCGCGATTTCATCGAGTGCGGTTGGCGTCTTATTTAAATTATTCTTAAATTCGTTCATAGTGGTAACAAAATTGGTGTGATTTTGTGTTACAACGGTCTGCGCAACTGAAGAATTAGTGGAATCTTTAAAATATACGCTATTCCGGTCAAGTGGACATAAGAATTTTATGGTATGTTGGCTACCTCACAGAACCTTATTGAAAAAGTCAACTCGATACATCTCGTGCCAAACATTCCAAGAAACATTAGAATGCGTCACACCGACATTCTAATGTAAAAAAAAATAAGATCATTATAACATAAGTATAGGCTGTATGGGCATTGTTCCCATTGCCTTCCATAAAAAAGGAGAATCTTTAAAAAAAGGTTAAATCGAATGAATGGCTCAGCTATCTCTTTTTTGGCAATAAAGAACGAAAGAGACAAAACTAAACAGTGTGAAGTTCGTTTAATCGTTACATCGAGCATACGATATCGTGAAAACGAGGAGTGAAATTCTATACTCGCACTGCGACACAATTCGAAAACGTAAAGTTTGATCGAATCGACGAAGACGATAGTTCGTTTCGTATTAAAAAAACTCATACTAAGGGTAAGGTAAGGGTAAGGGTAGGTAAGATCACACACGTAACTTTTGATCCTATCGTGTAGGTACTGTAGGGCTTAAACTGAAGGGAAGCCCTGGGAGGTAAAACTCAGATGGTAGTAAATGATAAAGAATGAGACTTCATATGAGAATATAATAATTATAAATTAATAGATAACTGTACGTTCTTCTGAATCTTCCATAAAAGACAGAAGATTCCCCATTTCAAATCTTTAAAATAATGACATTAACTTTTTAATATAACTGCCAGCCGTAAGCATTACATAAACAAAGAATTTACACAAGCAAAGACGCCGTAACGCAACGGGCGTTACAGTACCTAGCACTGTTAATGTGGTAACTCACGGCTTGGAGCAAGTCTTGCATACGAAGGGCTTGTCGTCGCTGTGTATCGTACGCTGCTGACGTAGTTCCCCGTTTGTACCACACGCGTATCCACACAGATCACACACTTTAACTTTTGTTATTGTCGTGTAGGTACAGTTCTGTTAATGTGGATAGTACTTACGGCTTGGAGCAAGTCTTGCATACGAAGGGCTTGTCGTCGCTGTGTATCGCGCGGTGCTGACGTAGTTCCCCGTTTGTACCACACGCGTATCCGCACAGATCGCACACATAACTTTTGATCTTGTCGTGCACCACTCTCTTGTGTGAGGCTGCCGACGATCGCGTTGTGAATCTGTACGTAATAATCATCAATAATAATCATGCTGCTAAGACATACGCAAATGAAAGGGATCGTTTAAGGAGGAAAGAATACGAGTAGTCCGTTAAACCATCACGAAGACCCAATACGAATTGATGAGTGCTGAGTGATGACACAGACTACTAAATACCTTCCGAAGTACACAAATAGTTAAAGTAAGAAAAAAAAAAGTAACAAAATCTATAAGGGGGATATAATAATATTGTAAAATAATATATTAATAATAATAATGTAAAATAACTTACTTCAGGTTACAAACGTCACAATGGTATATTTTCCTTTCTTCAATTGGAATGTGCGATCTTTCGTGTGATTTCAATGCATCTTTCGTAATAAATATTTTGTCACAAGTGGTGCAAACAAATTGTCTTTCCGATTTTGGTACATGCCTCATTTTGTGTTTGTTTAATGCTTCAATTGTTTTCGTTATTCTGGGACATTTATCACAGCTAAAAATATTGTAAATTACAGACGGGGTATTAAAATAGGGGGGAGGTGGGGGCTATTTAAGTGTTATATAAGCGGAGTTTTTGGTCTGCCATTCAGTAACATGTCATAAAAGACCCTGGAAATTGCGGCTTTCGAAATGAATGGCCTCAAAATAATTATTATTTTTGTAGAGTGAAAGTCTTACCATAGCATATTTGGATTTTTGTGGTCTTGAATATGTTTATAGAGAACAGATTTAGACTTAAGTGTTATACCACAAACACATTGGACTACGGGTGCTATCTTGTGGGAAGTTTCAGTGTGAGCCTTGAGACTGTACCAACTGGAATACTTCCTTTGGCAAACAGTACAAGTAAACCTGAAAAAAAAAACGATTTCTAGCTTTATACATTTGGGATAAATATATCTTACCGTGTCTAATAAGACATGGAAATCTAGAAGCTAATCCATTCTTATATTATAAATTACAAAGCAACACTTTGCGTCGCGTGTCCACGCTTAAACTGCTTTAGAAATAATATATTTATAAATATATATTTTCTTTAGATTTAAACATCAAACAGTTACATTCTTAAAAAAATAAAAACTGCTAAAGCAATGTTGATGAATTTTAGTATAAACAGATAAAAGAGAATCTTGCTATCTAATTAATCGTCAGAATATTAAAAATGGTTTATTTACTAAAAATAATCCATTCCCAATGCCCACTATGGTCGCATATGGCATTTTCAAGATATTTTAGGGTACGCTTAGGTTCAATTCACACCAGAATGGCACTGGCCGGCAGCGATGCGGCAAGCAATTTCACTTAAAACGGTGTAAAATAATTATTGGAAAGAAAGAAAGAAAGTATAAGAGGCATTGATGGACGAACGTGTAAACCTAAATCCATCAATGCCTAGTTGTAGTCAAGGCTTATATAGTGCTTTTCTCAAATAATGCGCGGAAATTAAAACTAAGTAGTACCTAGGCGGAACTTATTATTTTAAAGTTGCCGCTACAAGATTGTGTACAGTGTTTGTTGAAAACGGCAAACACGTCAAAAAATGCCAAACACCTATCACAATCACCCAACACAAACAGGCCTCCTCACACTGGCCGATCATGTTATGGTGCCTCCACCCGCTTGTTGTTTATTACAAACGCCAAACACGCCAACAAAGAGCCAAACGCCGATCAAATCACTCTACAAAAACAGGCTTCCTCACGCTGGTGTTTGCCGTCTGTTCGCCAAGTATAAAAATCGCCAAAACTGTGATACAATTCCCTACTTTTCAAAATCAATGACGAACAACAACACTCAATCATTAGTATTAATCATTTTTTTTTTTCAATAAATAGCCTTCTGTTTGCAAATCTGTTCGAAATTTAAATAAAACCTTTAATAAGTTACCTCCTTAGTTGTAGGCTTAGATTAAAACAAAAAGGGTAGATACGGTACGCTCATACTTGCATCAAACAAAAACTGATCCCACGGCAGCGCGAACGGGACGGCGAGATCCGCGTCACTGCATTACCGACCCGAGCGAAACAGCACGTTAAGTTTCAACGGCAGCGCGAATGAGACGGCGAGATCCGCGTCACTGCACTACCGACCAATCACGCGACCAGTACTCGACGTCACTACCGAATATTCAACAGGATTCAAAATAAACAGCAATTTTTATGAAAAATTATATTTTATAGTACTTACGAATGAAAAGTGATGCCTTGGGTTTTATTTTTAGTTCTTGAGCAATTTGAGCACTTTTTAAAAACATACTTAGTCATTGTTTTATCATATAAACACAAAATATTATCAATATTTCTTTTTGGCGTTCACATGTACGTCGTTTGCATGTCAAGTTGTGACTAAAGCGTGGACCAAAATTTGTGCGGATCACTTTTGTGAGGCTAGTGCCGTATCTAGCCTTTTTTAAATCTAAGGTTGTAGGTAATTTTTCAGCAGTAAAAGATCGTTCCATTTTTAAATTACACTACAGCAAATATACACCCCAGCAATATTACAAACATACAAAAATGGCTACTGCGCAAGTTTATTTGTCTGTGGTTTTACTTAAGAAGTTTGGTACCTACATGAGTTTACTATGTAATTTATTTGGCCGCTAAACACGACAGTTATGGAATTACATATAACTATTGCCGGCCGCTGCTCGCATGTATGTGGCAGGTACAGCAATTTCGATTGCCAAGCATGTTTGAGTAAAAGCTATAATGTACAATATATAAATATAAAATAAAAAAATAAAATTACACAGTAAAATGTAACCTCGCGCAGTCACGCGGCTGCGCGCGATGCCACTCGCTCGCGACACCGCGGGACCTATTCAACTGGTCTTTATGAGTATTGAGATAAAGTTTAAAATGATTTCACATCCTTTTCAGTGAAAAAAGTACTAAGTATTCGGCTATCTATTCATTGGATAATATTAAACGGTAAGTCTAAACAATCACCCTATGATCGGCGTGTTGATCGCAGTTTTTTCGTCCCACTTGATCGTAATTTACATGGAACTACTTTTTAGCGCAGTTCGTATTCCATATTATTTCTAATTCATAGGGGACTTAAGCGTATCCTAAAATATCCTGATGACGCAATCATAAAGGTCATCTTTGACCATAGTGGAGTCCAGCCGCGATGATAGCTGTTGCGGCAGAGAAGTGCGCCGCTCCAGGCATTCTTACCTCGCTGACCCAAACTCAATCCCCTAGGATTATTTAGTCGCAAGTTCATTTGTTGCCTAACTATATGGCTTGTACAACTGTGGCTAGGTAACTGATTAATTGTAATCACTTACGTGACAAAGTCCTTTATTTTCAAGCTGGAGTACTTGGAGTCTACTTCACATTTGGCATCATTTGTCTGTCCATTGTCCTTAGACTTCCGGTTTCTTATCTTGTGGTCGGAAACATGCTTGTAAAGGACACTCTTAGATCTAATGACAAAACCACATATGCAGTTAACTGATGGTTTACTTCTATGTGTTTTATAGTAATGTACTCGCAACTCACTCCATGATTTCACTTTCAGTTCACAAATATCACATTGCAATCTAAAAAATATTTTCATTTAGAGCAATCAATGTGCTTAAGCTTTGAAAGATATTTCGTTGAGGGTCAATAAAAAAAAATTGTGGTAAATTGAATTGTTAACCCTTTTTACAACTGTCATTTTTGTTACTTAAACTTTATTCTGAATGAAATTCTTTAATTTTGAAGGCATTTTTTTATTCATCAAATGAAGCCAGATTATTTAAGTTACTGCCTTAAATATGTGTAACCTACTGCCCAGTATTAAAACAAGTAGTCAAGATAGATAAACACTTATTAAAACTTGTTATTCTTTAGTTTTTTTAAATTTACAGAAAACTAAATTTTTCAATACTTACTTGACAAAATCTTTTACTTTCAAATCAGATTTTTGGAGAACTTTTTCTACTACTTCAGAATCTTTGAAAGAATTACTTTTCTTCTTATTGTATCTTCTTTTCTCTGTTTTATCTGGCTGTTCATCATTTTTAACTTTTTTAAGTGCAGCAAGTGTGATATAGTCATCATCATTTTCATCGTCTTCACTATTACCACAATCATTATTATCATAATCATGAAATTCATCATGTATAATCATGCTTTTATCAACATCACTCATTACGCCTGTGAAATATTTAACTTCTTAATGGATTGAAAATACAAACAAGGTATATTTTCTACTAAATACGCCAACTTAAAACAACCAGATGGCTATTGGCAAGGAGCTTGATGGCCAAGGGGTAAAGACAATTCTGTCTGCGATTGTGGAAGTTTAACTATCACATGGATGTTCATAGCATGGAAAACTAAAATGTATTCTCCACCTCCATCATACTGCGGCCGTCGGCAGTCACGTTAAGCCGTTTCTCCGAGTTACATCCACAGTCGCTAGCACCCACCAATAGGCATTAGCGTGGATCATGGCTCGTTATATACCGTACATAGGAAAGGATTGTGTGCCCCAGCATGAAATTAATATGCTGATAACAATGAATAGGACAGTAACTTATGCTGTTGAAGTACATTAGTCATGGAACTACTAGTACCTGCTAGTGTTTTTAAAATATGGGTTGGCCACGGGTGGGATTATGAACAGTATCGGAACACTTTCAGAGTCAACACAAGTAAAATTGCAAATATAAGTTATAAATATTAAAACAAATTTGTACAAGAATTGAATGACTCATTACCGATTCATCAATATTATAACATGATGACAGCGCTTTAGTAAAATCACCTTAAAATAATAAGTAATTAATGAAATAAATTAGGCAATAATACTCAAATAATTTCATTTCTTAGACTGGTATGTTAACACGAAACTTTCGGTTCTGTCTATCCCACACAAGCTCAGGTCAGCCCTCTTTGCATTTTCAAAAAAAAAATTCAAAATTCAATATCGTTTATTTAGTCTAGCTAGGCTGTTACAAGCACTTGTGAATGTCGCAAATCTACGGCGGGGACCTTGTACTGTGAAGAACCGGCAAGAAACTCAGCAAGGGCTGTTTTTTTCTCCCTGTATTATATACAGGGTCGTCAATTTGAAAAATGACTTCAATATGATATGACTCATGAAGTCACTTTCCATTACAAATGTAAATGATAAAACAATTATGACTATAAAATAACAAATATTAAAAACAAATTAAAAAATTAAAAAAGTTTAGGAATGAATTTGACAACGTAAAATGAATTTTGGTATTTAAAAGATAAGGTCAATTCTCGAAAATATTATTTTTAACAGTACTGAGTCCTATTTGTATACATACTATACTCAGGCTTTCGGGTTTTCAGGAACTCAGACTTAAAATTAGATTTGACATCTTGTAAGATAATTTATTAGATATCATCCTGACTCACAGCACTTAAAGTCCATGGACTTATCATATTATTTTTTGGAGGTCCTCTTTAAAATTGGTGCTTAAATTTATACTTACTCAAAGCAATATCTTCAGCCAATAGTTCATCTTTCACCTAGAAGCATAAACATAAGTATAGAAATATTATGAAATTTCTGATATAATTTCAGCTCATCACATATTATTTTCAAGAAGAAGAAGAAGAAATTTTTAAATAACTTAAAACATTTGTTACATAATTTTTAAAATGTCCTTTTAGGCATCAATTATTTCCTACTCAATCCAAATATCTAAACATTTCCATAACATTTGCATAAATATTCCAGTAGATACATCAACTAGTTGACACTTTTGAATGAAACTACTTTGCAGAGAAATGGGATGTTCCATAAATCAAATGATATTCAATTTTTATTTTATTTTACTTATTTATTTCTAATTACCACAGCATTATACCATTTACAGCAATTACAATAAAAAAAAAACAGAATTACAAACATGAGGATTCACACTCATTTTTCTCGCTGATTCTCATACATTATTTTAATCCATCCATCTGCATACACATCACACTCAGCCTGTTAAGCCAGGAGTGCTTTAAGTTGATTCATAATGCGACAAAGAGGATTTTGAGTGCGGGTCACAGTTCGGGCAAATGGTGCAAAACTACCTGTTTATCGTGATTATTTTTACAGTAAAGAACATTATAATTACCTCAGATTTTATATAACCACTGCCGTAATCATCTGCTTCAGGTTTTACTCTTAAGCCTTCATTACTCTCTAAATATATTTTATTTAAGTTGTCCTGTGCTTTATAGCATTCAAGAATAAATAATTGAAAAGAAACCATTTTTTCTTCACAGTTAATACACACTTTTGTTGGTAGCTCATCATTTTCACTTATCTGAAAAAAAAAACATTTTGATATTACTGCTATAAATGTAGGAAAATCAGAAATGAAAAGTAAATTCTATATAATCAGGTCTACAAATAAATTGAGTTATTATATTTTAAAACACATATTTAAACACAAAAAATAACTCTTACACCTTACCAAAATTTTAAACTGTTGTGTGATTGAATAATTATTAACTCTGAACAACAAATATTTAACCATCAGTAGGGACATTAACAGGCTGATGATAATGAGTTATTTTTCATTCTTATTATTATTTACATTACATGTTTACTAATGATAATATGGATTTTCTAATAAATTTTGTATTATATGCACACTCAACAACAGGTCACATACTATAGCAACATGTTTGCATTATGAGGAACTAGAAAAAATTTAAATTGTTTTCTATTTATGAATCAAAATGAGTTTTGATATTTCTTTTTCTATAAAATTATTTGTTTATGAATATAGATGTTGGCAATCAGTCTGAATGGATAAGAAGCTATCAGACAAAGAAAAACTAATTCAGTTAATCATTACGTAGATATGGATGCAAAGAATGCATACCAAGAATTTAATAGTAACAGAACAATGCAGGAGCATTGAAATTCTGTCAATGTTTCTTTGGAGTAACTGCAGATCTCTCATTGCAATATTAATATAACCCAGCAAATTAAAACGGAGTTAAATAAAATATAGTGCCACGTTAGACAAAAAAGTTTCCTTGTCATAAACATTATTCATGCTATGCAAATCATTTATAGTACTTTATTTTAAATATGTATGAAATGTCTACTGTGTTCTCTGTTGTCTACTCAGTTTAGGAAATTCGCTTGAATATGTTTCTTATTAGCTTTGTTTCTTTGTCAGTTTTAGAGGCAAGCGACACTCTGACTAAATTTCTGGCCAACTGGGATGAATGACTAAGAGAAACATTCCAGATACAATAAATTCATGAACAATATTCCGCTCTTAGGGACAAAGATCCACTGTTTATGAATAAATGTCCTATATTTAAGGACAATTGACCATCATTTAGGGTGAAATGGCTGGTGTTTAGGGACAGATATCCAGCTTATAGAGATAAATGTGTGGCTCAAATAGTTATCTAAAAATACACATGTCTGACATATAGGGGCAATGTACAGCCTAATTCAGAACCTAGACCAGATTTCAGATATGTCATTTATATTGTTTTGTATTTTGGCCAAAACACCAAATAAACACGCTAAAGTTATCATAGTTTGAAGAATCTTAATCAAACTTACAGCTATCTGGATAAGATCCTTTATCAATTTTAAAGCACTTGAGTTATTTGCGTCGAATAGGTCTTTAGTAAAATCTTCCTTTTTTGCGCATAATCTACACAGATCTTTGATATTCAAAGCCATATTCACAGTGCTATACGATGCATGTTACTTATTCCATATAAAATAATGTCTCTCAGACTAATAACTAAAGCAATGTCTCCCACTGAAAAGCAACTATGGATTATGCAACCATTCGGTTAAATTGTTTGTTTCTAAATAAAAACACATTGTTATCTACATTATGGGGTAGACTTTCAGTATTATATTAAAATTTATTATTCGAATTTCGAAATACAAAAGCTAGAGCAGTGTCAGCAGTGCTGCCAGTACCTGCGTCGTGTTTCGGACGATTCGAAATCTGAAAAGGGACGATTTTTAGTCAAAAAGGACGGCCTTACAGAAATATTAAACTAAAGGCTGAACTATATTTATCTTACGTGTTGTATTGTGGCGCAATCTGCTTCATACATTTAGTACGGTTAGCACTAAGAACTATACCTGTGTGTCGCGATGTTTCGACAGCGTTCTCACTTTAACCATAATTGTATGAAAGAGATAGCTCTCTGATGTGTTACAACACAAAACGACAGGTAAGTGTAGTTCTATCATAATGCGGTTAAATGAAAAAAAAAACGAGTGTGTTTAGGAACACACGACTGAAGTGAAACTTCTATAGCTCCAATGATCTGAAATTTGATAGAAAAAAAACCACCAATCCGCACTGGGTCCATTATCACACACCAATCCGCACTGGGTCCATTGCCACTGACTAACCCGCGCTGTGTCCGTTATCACCCTTCAATCCGCACTGGGTCCATTATCACCAACTCATCCGCGCTGGGTCCATTATCATCCACCAATCCGCACTGGGTCTGTTATTATACACCAATCCATACTGGGTCCGTTATCACCCACCAATCCGCGCTGGGTCCAGTGTCACCCACCAGTCCACACTGGGTCCGCTATCATCCACCAATTCGTGCTGGGTCCATTATCACCCACCAATCCGTACTGGGTCCATTGCCACCGACCAATCCGCACTGTGTTCGTTATAACCCTCCAATCCGCACTGGATCCATTATCACCAACCCATCCGCGCTGGGTCCATTATCACCCATCAACCCGCACTGGGTCCGTTATCATCCACCAATCTGCGCTGGGTCCGTTATCATACACCAATCCACACTGGGTCCGTTATCACCCACCAAGCCAAGCACTAGATTTATGTATTTTGTTACAGGTATTGTTCATTGTTTACCGATGAGTCACCGATGACACTAATCGTAACACGAAATCGTAACAATTCGCCAGTTTACCCCCCAAGTCAAGGCGTGCCTAAAGAAGTTTCACTTCAAAAAACATTTTAACAGAGCCATATTAACTATATTTTTTTGGCCACACAATAAACATAATGAAGATGGTATGGAGGACATAGGTACATCATGGTGGTACGAACGTAACGTACGTACTTACGACTCTACAAAGCAAGCACTTATTCTTAAGTTACCTATTATCTTCATAACTGAAACATACCTCAACAACAAAAGTTTTATTAGGTAAGATATGGTAGGTTATTGGGTTTGAGCTTTGAGTTGGTATATAGATATAGGTAGGTATTTATTAAAAGTCACCTTCGTAGCGAGCGTTGGATTTGATGTAGTTTACTGGGTGATTTGACGAATAGAGTTGACAATGTACAACGAATAGTGATGGCAATTTAGTGAAATAAATCAATGAGTGAACCGAAACGCATTCGTCTAATGTTGCAGTGAAGCGTTATCGAAAACGGACGGAATATGTAAAAGGACATCGATGGGACGCTTTGATGAGAAAAGGGACGAAAATCGTCCCTTTTGGGACGTTCTGGCATCACTGAGTGTCAGTGTCTGCATCTCTGTAATCTGTGGTGTTGATGTCTGTACTTTCCACAGATTACTGTTGAAAATACACACACTCGAATAATCGGTATAATTATATAAAGATCTGTAGATTTGCATTAAACCTTTAATTCTCTACTCTTAATTCATCATTCTCACTTTCACCTTCTTCACTTTTCCACTTTTTGTCTATTCCAGTTCATAAATTACTATCTAAAGCACTATAGAAACATGTATATCTACCTATTTTATATTTTATTTAAAAATTAGCATCAATTATTGCTCATGGTATCAAATCTGGCATGTTTCTCTAAACCTAAACTTAAACTTGACAACAGTGCATCCTTGTCACTCTCCATACACAATGAGAAGGAGAGACTGATGTTAAATTTAGTTTTACGTTTAGATAATGATGCCAGAATCTCTTAGAGTCTTAGAGCATCTAAGTGGAACCTATACCAATGCAATGTTAAAGTTTATTTCGGGTTTACATTTTCAGTAAATTGATATGGTGTAAAAATATACTTTTTTACATTTGCTGAAGTAATTTGGGGTATGAGGGGTGCCGCCTAACACCCAACGGCACCCAAGCCAACCTCACCTGCCCGCGGTGTACCCTGCCGACCAACGGACGAGGCTCTGGCGCTCCCCACCAACCCGCACTGGGCCAGCGTGGTGGGAGACGGCCCAAAACCCCCCCTAAAATGATAGTACATGATAAGAGGCCCCAAGTGCCCGGCGGTGCTGGAGTCCGTGGCGGCGCTGACGGACGCCGACTCGGCGCCGGGACCAGGGGTGCGAAGAATCCCCGGGCGGCAAAAATCCCCCGTCAAACGACCTTGGCCCTGGCAACGTACAACGCACGCACACTGCGGACCGAGGAGAAGCTGCTGGAACTGGAGGAAGAATTGAGCAGGATTCGCTGGAGTATTGTAGGACTATCAGAAGTCCGAAGAGAGGGCGAGGACACGATGGTCCTTAAATCCGGCAACCTGCTCTATTTCCGGGAGGGCGAAGATCTGTCCCAGGGTGGTGTCGGGTTTGTTGTCCACAAGTCTCTCGTGAACAATGTTGTACAGATCGGTAGTGTGTCGAATAGGGTGGCGTACCTTATACTCAGAATCACCAAACGGTATTCGTTGAAGGTCATACAGGTATACGCTCCGACCTCGACGCACCCCGACGAGGAAGTGGAAGTCATGTATGAGGATATTTCTCGGGCAATGCATGCTTCCAGGACCCATTACACCGTTGTCATGGGGGACTTCAACGCAAGGCTGGGCAAACGTGGCGATGATGAGTTGAAAGTGGGGCAATTTGGAGTTGGAATCCGGAACTTCCGAGGTCAAATGCTAGCCGATTACATGGAGAAGGAGGGACTCTTTATGATGAACTCCTTCTTCAGAAAACGGCTGCATCGAAAATGGACCTGGAAAAGTCCGGATGGCGTGACAAAAAATGAGATTGACTTCATCATGTCGACTAAGTCCGGTATGCAAGAAATCCGGACATTCGACGGCCACCTGCTTTACGTTCAAGACCGCCGATCAAGATAGAAAATGGGAAATAGCGAAGAAAAGCAACCTTTGTTTCCGTTGCTTACAATACAGAAGCAAGATGCACAGATGCAAGACGCGAGCGTGCGAGAGGGACGGCTGCGAGCGCTCACACCACCCACTTCTTCACTACAAACCGAAGTCGCAACGTGAGGAAGAACCAGCCACGAGCAACACAGAAACCGAGAGGGTGGCCAGCACACACAGCAGCCGCAAGCGAGACGCGTACTTGAAGATAATTCCGGTTCGCATTACGGGACCGAGCGGACATTTTGATACGTACGCGCTACTGGACGACGGCTCTACAGTCACACTTATAGAAGAGAGGGCCGCCGAGAAGATAGGAGCCGAGGGACCTACCGAGCGACTGAAGATTGAAACGATCGACGCCAAGCTGCCAGAGACACAGTCGCGCCGGGTCACCTTCAAGATCGAGGGACAGAACAGAGGCTTCAAGGTGCAAGCACGCACCATCGACCAAATGAAGATTTCACCGCAAACCATAGAAGAAAGACACTTATGGGGCTGCAAGCACCTGCGGGGAATCGAGAAGCACGTCACCTATGAAGACGCCCGGCCGACCATCCTCATCGGGCAAGACAACTGGCACCTACTCTTGGCCAGCGAAGTCCGCCGGGGGAATAGAAGACAGCTAGTGGCATCGAAGACGGCTCTGGGATGGGTACTCCACGGCACAGACTCGCGCACCATCGGTCACCGGGTTCATTTCGTGAACCACCTCACCGAAGAAACAGAAGATTCGAAAATGGATGAACTACTTCGTCATCACTTCGCATTGGAATCGATCGACATCGAAAAGAAGAAACCGCATTCCGATCCAGAGGAGAAAGCCATCAAGATGCTAGAAGAACACACCCACAGAAAAGAAGATGGAAAATTTGAAACCGCGCTACTCTGGAAGAAAGAGGACATCAAGATGCCCAACAATTATGAAAATGCGTACAGACGGCTGCTCACCACAGAGAAGAAAATCGACCGCGATCCACGCCTAAGGGGAAAATACATAGAACAAATGGACGCGCTCATCGAAAAGGGATACGCCGAGCGAGCACCGCCGACATCAACAGAAGACAGAACTTGGTACCTGCCGCATTTTCCAGTCATCAACCCGTTGAAGCCAAACAAGTTACGCATCGTACACGACGCAGCTGCGAAGACCGGAGGCACCTCACTCAACGACTGCCTTCTCACCGGGCCGGACCTACTTCGATCGTTGATAGGAGTCATGATGCGATTCCGTCAACACCAGTACGCCGTGACAGCCGACATCGCCGAAATGTTCATGCGCGTGGGGATCCGACCGGAAGACAGAGATGCACTGCGGTACCTATGGCGCGGCGAAAGAAGAGAGGGACCACCGGAAGAATACAGAATGAAGTCACTCATCTTCGGCGCTACGTGTTCACCAGCCACCGCTATTTTCGTCAAGAACAAGAACGCCGAGCGATATCAAGAAACGCAACCGACCGCCGTCAACGCCATAGTACAAGCGCACTACATGGATGACTACCTAGACAGCTTTACAACGGAACAAGAAGCCATAGAAGTGTCGACGCAAGTAAGAAAAATACACGCCGACGGAAATTTCGACTTACGCAACTGGGTGTCGAACTCGCATCGAATAAGGCAAGCACTCACCGAGGGACCGCTACGCGTTCAACAACCAATAACACTCAACGACGGATCAAGAATAGAAAAAGTACTCGGACTCATGTGGAACCCGCAATCGGACGAATTGGGGTTCAATCTCGAGTTGGCGCGCATCCCATCGGACCTACTTGCAAATAAGGCACCCACGAAGAGAGAAGTTTTGAAGATTGTGATGTCAATCTACGATCCAATGGGACTTGCATCACCAGTCACAGTCAGGGGAAAGCAGATCATACAAGAAATTTGGCGACGCGGCACAGAATGGGACAAGAAAATCGACACCGACCTCGCAGAGCAGTGGACGACCTGGCTACAACACATGAAGGACCTACGAGGCGTCAAAGTACCACGAGCCTACATAGGATACAGCGAAGCCACTTCACTTCAGCTGCACGTCTTCGTGGACGCCAGCGCCACCACGTACGCCGCCGCACTCTACTGGCGGGCCGAGTCGCCGGGAGGTCAAGTCGACGTGACACTCATCACGGCGAAAGCACGCGTGGCTCCACTCAAAGTCACGTCGATACCGCGCCTCGAGCTACAAGCCGCAGTCCTGGGAGCAAGAATGGCCGCCACCGTGATAGAAGAGCACTCAAGAAAACCAGAATCGAAGACATTTTGGACAGACAGCAAAACAGTATTGTCTTGGGTGCGAACGGGATCGCGCTCATTCAAGCCATTCGTCGCGCATCGCATAGCCGCCATCGAAGAACTCAGCACCATCAACGAGTGGCGATGGGTGCCCACGAAGCTCAACACAGCAGACGACGCCACAAGAATATCACCGCACGACTTCTACGGCTACCACAGATGGTTCACCGGGCCTCCGTTTCTACGAAACAAACAAGAAGAATGGCCCGCCGGAACTGCAACCGCAACCGAAGTCACCGGGGAAGAACGCGTGCACCACATAAGCACGAAGAAAGCGCCGTCAATATCCGAAGCTGCACCGGACGTCACTCGATTTTCGCGCTGGGACAAGTTAATTCGGACTACGGCAAGAGTACTACAGTTCATCGACCTCTGCCAAGCGAAAACCGACCGAATTAACTACAGAAGAAAGAAAAACGAAAAGGAACCCGACTGGAAGAAAAATCAAAAATCGGCGCCGACACATAAGAAGAAAACGACGCCAACCGTTCAAGAAAGAAAATTCATCGCAATCGACCGAAGATACATCGAACGCGCAGAGAAAATAATAGTTCGCGTAATACAACACGACGCATTTCAAGACGAGTTGAAACAACTGCGAGGGGGCGCCACCATCGCTACGAACAGTCGACTCCGCCCACTTTCGCTAATAGTCAACGACGGCGTGTTGTACCTACGAAGCCGGGTCAACGCAGCGGCGGGAGTAACCGAAACTCAGAAGACACCGACGATACTCGACGGGAACCATCGAGCCACCCAACTGTGGATAGAACACACACATAGAAGCCTTCTCCACGCCGGGGTGGAAACTACAGTCAACGAGTGCAGACAACACTATTGGATTTTACGCATTCGACCCGTCACGAAACGAATAATAAGCAGTTGCATAAACTGCCGCATAAGGAGGGCGGCGCCACCGTCGCCACCTACCGGAGATTTGCCGCCGACGCGCCTCGCTCATCACCGACGGCCATTCACGTACACCGGATTGGATTATTTCGGGCCGTTGACAGTCACCGTGGGCAGGCGTCAAGAAAAACGCTACGTCGCGCTCTTCACGTGTCTTACTACGAGAGCCGTGCACCTCGAGTTGGCCGCCTCACTATCGACGGACTCCGCCATACACGCACTACGGCGCATGATAGCGCGCCGCGGGTGCCCTACCGAAATTTGCTCGGACAACGGGACCAACTTCCACGGCGCAGAAAACGAAATGAAGAAGGCAGTGCAGCAGGCGACGAGCGAAGAAGCAAGCATCCGCAGTATCCGGTGGAGGTACATACCGCCGGGAGCACCATTCATGGGCGGGGCGTGGGAACGCCTCGTGAAGTCCGTCAAAATCGCGCTAAGTGCGGTTTTGCAAGAAAGAAGTCCGCCCGAAGAGGTACTTACGACGCTACTCGCCGAGGCCGAATACACCGTGAACAGCCGGCCTCTCACCCACGTGTCCGTGCACCATGAAGACGACGAAGCCATCACTCCCAACCACTTTCTGCTGGGAGGTTCAGCGCGCGTCCCACTGCCGGGCGAGTTCGACGAGAGCGACCTGATAGGCCGCCCGCACTGGAGAGCAGCACAGCGCCTCGCCGACCACTTCTGGGCGCGCTGGGTGCGAGAGTACCTACCCGAGCTGCAACACCGGCGGGAGCCCCACGGGACCGGGAAGACCATCGCCATCGGGGACATCGTGCTCATCGCCGACAGCAACCTGCCACGCAACACGTGGCCCAAGGGAGTCGTCATCGCCACTTTTCCCGGGCGAGACGGCACAGTACGAGTCGTCGATCTGAAGACAGCCGGAGGAGTGCTACGCAGACCGACCAAGCGACTGGTGATATTCGCATCGGCCGCCACTCCCACGGAAGATGGATGCAGCGACGAGTCGACCGACGCTGCACGGCGGGAGTATGTACGCGACGACCGAAGCGAGAGAAAATGAACTTACGACGATACGAGACCAATGTATAAAAATGTATCTATAATTTCACATGAATCGGTTGTATACGCATTAAAAATATCATTCCCTTGTTGTCTTATTAGAATGAGTCGGATATCGCAATAATAGATAGCTCTGCCCATAGTAAACCATTGTAAAATTGATAGTTCAGAGCGATATTCCGCCCCGTTCTCTCCAATAATCTTATAAGACTTTATCTAAACGATCGCCACGACGCCAAGCGGTGGCGCGGGGAAACTAGTCAGAATACTGATAGTTCCGACCTATAGGAGGGACGGAGACTAGACATGGGCGTTTTTGGTTTTGAACGCAAACGGATATTTATCGGATTTCAGATTTCAAAATCGATTTTAAAATCCGTTTTTAGATATCCGATTTCAGATGTGCCGAACTTAGCTAATTCACTAGTTTGTGTTATGATTTGGTTTTATTAGCTAACGACAATCACAAACAATTAATTGTAGGAAGCAATGATACTCGTAGATTTTCGCGATTTTCCTTATCTAGGCTTAGGACTAGCAGAAAAGTTATGTTTACGGTTAAGAGTAAAACTTTTGCGGCGCATTTAAAAATCGGCTTTTATACAATGATTTCTTTTTACATATTTTTTTTTGTTTTTCTGTTTGTTTTTATTATTTTTCAAACCATTTACAAAATTACTAAAACTACAAACCGAATTACTTCAGGTTAGCGTCCAAAAATGTAAGTTGCTCGACTTTTGATGTTTTTAGACGACATATCTTTTCAGTGATAAATAATCCCGCCTCAGAGAAGAGCAATAGATTTCCGTAAACAGCGAATCGAAATCGGACTTCCGAGCACGAAATCTGACTTCCGAAAACGAAAGCACGAATTTCGAATCCGATTTACATTTGGATACTTGTGGTATTAGATCGCTAGCGATTTGGTTCGGTTAGATTTCTGAAATCGGATTTTCTTGCTGAGAAATCGTTCGGTATCGATTTGTGTTTGAAATCGGATTTTGGATTCGTTTTGATATATCGGACGCATGCCTAACGGAGACAATAGGTTGTCCTTGTCTCACATCTTATAGGATTTTGCCTGAGTTGACAATTTTCGATAATAGTATGCTTTATGTTTTGATTGATTTATTTTATGTCTTATTAGATAGTAGGTAGTTATAGGAATAATATATCGAAGTTTTGTATGAATCGTGTTAGTAGTTTAAGCGTAATTAAGGAAAATATTGGGAATAGTTTTTTACGAATAGTCAATAGGATATAGGTATAATTGTTATAATAATGATGTCATTTTGTGTGTTTTTGCTTCTTCTATAAAACGGTATATGATAGTTAGGCATTAAGTGAATATAAGTAGGTTTTTTGAGACTTTTTAATTTGTAAACTTTATAGGGCCGTACAGCTGTTGTTTATTGATATTCTTGTAAGAACTTGTTGTATTAGATAGGTAACACGTAGGGCTACGTAAATAAATAGGTATCACATCAATAAGTGTAAAAATGTACCGTGTAGAAGACAAAACATGTTTGTATAGAACCGTTTTCTGAGACATGTTGCGCTCCCCACCCGGCGCGCCCGGAGCGCGCGGGTGGGGCAGCGAAGCCCCGTGGCAGGGCGAAGCCCTATGGAGGGGGAAAGTATAAATATTGCGGAGACCTATTTTTTGCGCGCCACACCTAAAATATCGTGTTTACGGACACATAACTGTGTTAAAAATATGCCTAAATGTATGCCCGATGTATGTACAATTAGTTTTAAGCTCGCACTATTGTAAATTTTGAGAAAATGAAAAATAAAGTATAGCGTGGGTGAGGTAATGGATCGCTGGCCAGCTCAGTCCTAGCATATAAAATTCGAGTCGGAACATGCCCCGACATGCATTCAGCGACAGGCGCTCCTACCCTAAGGAACAGGAAGAAACAATCAAGCGGTTCACTCTGGACCTGAAGCCTCCTCTCACCGGCCATCCATTATCAGCGCCCACCGATTTCTTCAATACCGAACACCAGGGGTTTTATTCGCCGAAACTACAGTCCACTACAGTCAAGACTCCTGCGTGTAACTTCCTCCACCCCCTCAGTACGAGTCGGTAACTGTCCGCTACTGCGACAGCCCGGCGTCCCGTACACTATCTTTATTCCGCGTTTTGAAATAAGGCAGTTTAAGTTTTTTATGGGTTTATCAGTAAATTATGCCTCGATTGATAGACGTATAATTTAATGTCAAAAAATGGGTCAAAATACTAAGTTTTCGGTAGCATTGGTAACGCTGTCACAGAAAGCTGCCATCCCATGCAGAGCTACGTTAAATGCCAAACCCACGCCCGCAATTACTTCAGTCACTCCGTTGTACATGGTAACAATCCCGTCAATAGCTATAAAATTCCCAAAATAAGTTCCAATTTCGGCCACGCGCCTCAAGAACTTGATCACACTGTATGTGACATTTGTTGCACATGGAGCGTAGTTTGGAACGCAGCATAGCTTACAAGTTGCCAGCTCCGTTTCATGAACGGAAAGTAAACGGAACCAAAAAACAATTTGCCAGTATAAAATATGTTTTGTTTGACAGTAAAAGAGAAAATTAAAAATCTCTTTGGTTACAAAAAAATAATGGTGGTGAATGTTTGCTTTTCGTTGGCGTTCGACTGTTTGTAGAAAAAAATTGGAATAGAAAACATTGTGATTGAGTGAGCGTTAATTGCCACAAAAAAGAAAAAGAAGAAGAAGAGTGAGCGTTACTAAAAAAAGCAGTAAGCAGTAAGGATTTATTATTTTCTTTGTAATTGCAATAACTTTTGATTACAAAGTTTGTGTATGAAGAAATGGTATCAACTCATGCGGAATTTCTTTATTTTCAAAACTACCATGAAATCTAGAGTTTGAACGATTCTTTGTAATAACCCTCACAATGAATATACCATCTAGTAATAGAGATCTAGCTACGCCTCTGTCATACAAGAGCTTCAGTTTTTGTAAAACTGAAGATAGCGGTTATCATACTTCTTTTGCATCACCATCGTTAGAATGTTCCATATCTAGTGAGACCTTGGATTCATCTCTTGTTTGCCCTAATTATTGTAAATTACAAGTAGAGTGTTATTCCATCACACCGAAATCTGACGGAAGATCAAATGCTTGTTATAGTAATAGGACAAACACCCCAATAAGTTCAGAAACCCCACCATTTATAAAGAGGGGTATTAAGCGCCCTTATGAAGAAGAAAAAGGACAAAATGAAAATAATTGCAATATTGCAACACCTACAAGTTTAATAGCAAGTGAAGTCCGCAAACTAAATGTTCATGATAATAAGTTGAATTCAACAACAGCTTCTTGTGATTCTGGTCAATTAGATACAATTTTAAATGATATTCATTATAAAGATTACTATGAAGCTATATCACATCCTACAACACCAATTAAAAAGATTTGTAGGAGTAGTTGCAATCTAAGTCCTTTTAATCGCCGTAAATCTGCTAGAAAAGTAGATTTTGCTATCCATTCCTTATCATGTGAAAGACAGGTTATTAAACTGCAATCAAAACCTCAGTCAAAAGTAGCCAAATCAATTTCTTTTGCATATAAACCCAACCAAAAAATTGATATAATACAGATGTTATACAACCATGAAGATTATTGCAGTACTTCTATTAGAAAAATATTAAGCTTTTTATCCCAGGATGACATTTACAATTTCACATTAGTCAGTCCTGTGTGGTGTGACATCTTCAAAAGCACAAACACAAAGCAAAATTGCTACAGCTTTTTCAACAACCTAAAAAGTAATTTGGAAAATCGGGATCAAACAGAAGTACAAAGGACTGATAGTTATAACCAAATCAAACCATTAAAAGAAATTCAGAATGTGAATATAGCTATTAGCACTCCAAGAAGTCCAACAAGAAGTCCCCGTACCACTAGATTCAACAAATTTACTAAGGTAAGCACAAACTTTATTTATTATTCCTTAGTTTGTTTTTTTAATAGTATAGCGTTGACTTTCACAACAGCTTGTAACAGCCTAGACTTAATAAATAATTTTGAATTTAAAGTAAATTGGTGAAAAAGAATTAAATGTAGAAACATCTTTTGAAATACAAATCTAGCTATTGTTATTGTTTTTAACAGAAAAATTGTTTGTCAAAAGTTTTATGTTAAGGTAACTAAATTAAACTTAAATCTCTGGACTTTCAGGCAGCATCTCTAGACGACCGCAGTCAGTTAGTATGCATTAACTGCAGACATCCAGCTAAGGTAACCATTGAGGCATGTGGTGAAGAATGGGTGGAGTGTACTAGTACTTCGTGTGCTCACCAGTTCTGCAGGCTGTGCAAGTGTGGCAGGCATCCAGGTAAAAGTTGTGTACAGTATGATCTTGTCGATGGACCTAGTCCATCAAAAAGGAAGAAAAACAATTGCTCTGTAAGCTCTAATAAGAGTAAAAAGAAATTGAAAAGACTACTTTTTTAAAAACTCTACGATGTAGTCTTTAATATGTAATATAAACCAGTGATTTGTCTTTATTGATATTTAATTATTTAGGTATAGATATTTTAAGTGAAAAGATAGCATAAATAGTGTGGGTCTTCTTTTTAAAAGAGTTCCAATACACTGTTCATTATGCTATTACCTATACCTCCAAAGATACTACACAGTTTTTACCCACAAAAGACTTAATTTTAATTCCATGTGAGATTATTAGTATTTCCAGTAACAGTGACATTACATTTGACATTATTTATTAAGCTGTCTGTTAACAGAAGTGGTCAGTAACGTCTGTTTGTTTAGCATGTGTGTATAAAATAATAGTGCCATTCTATTAATAATATGCAACATTTAGACTGATATTTTAATGCCATTTTTACAAATTTAATGTCAGTTATTTTTTCTTGTAAATATAATATTTTTGGCATGTCTAGGTGTCCATCGGGGCTAGTTAAAGTGTACCTGCTCTCACTTTAGTAGACGTAAGATTGCAGCAAAACTTATTGGTGTAATAATGTAGGTAGAAAAAGCATCTTATAAATTTCAGATGTGATTTTTTTAATTTGCATATTGTGTTATTTAGAAATAATTTCAATTTTGGCAATAATATGAGAAATTGCATAAAACATGTTTTCATCATCATAAATATATTTTTATTAATGCATATTACTACTACTGAAAAAGAATCTGTTACAACTTTTTCCTGCATCAGCTATTCAGTTAACTTGATTATTAATATATATAATTTAAATAAAAAATATATATAATATTATTTGTATGTTTTAGACATACATAGTTGATTGTTTTAGTTATATTCTAAAGTACATAATTGTTTTTTATTTCCATTGTACATATTTATGAATTATTGAATTTTTACATTCCACAAAATTTGAAATTCTAGATTTTATGATTGATATGATTTGACTCATTTTTAAATTTTGACATCTCATTCGATTGTACAGTATGATTATTATTCTTAAAATGATCTCAATGATTCATATGTCTTTGATATTACTGTGAAATTTTGGTTTATGTACTTATATAAACTGATGATATAATGCTCACTTACTCAAAAGTTAGGTCTTTAATAATAAATCTGAAGACTGTTGATTAACACATCACTAAAATATTTTATCTCAAAATACAACCTTAACGTAACATCTAGATTTAAAAGAAATTGTATTTTAAGAAATTCAAATTAAAGGAGCATTATGGCTCGCAAAAGTCAGGCCATTACACTACATTGAAATGGTTTTAGTCTCTAATGACGACAAAGGGGAAAAATTTGTGCCATTGTTTAATTGTAAGTAATATTTCATTTGCATCAGAATCATCAACCAAACAAATCCATGAATGTAAATGCTGGCATTATGGTGGCACTTCACTATGCTATTCATATGTATTTAGCTGTTATGATATTTGACAAATAACTGCAATGTGCAGTTATTTAAATTACTATAATGTTAGTGACCATGAAAGTTTAAAACAATTGCTATCTAGTTTAGAAAGGGCAAATATAAATAGCCTTGTAAAGTGCCAGCAGAATTGGGACCAATAACCATATAATATGTAATACAGCACTTCTGTTTCTTTTAGTAGTGACAGGAATTTAAATTATAAAATCTTTCAGCAAGGGTCAATAACCCAACGTTTGCAAAGTCCGAGATGCGAAGAATAAATTTAATTTCAAATAATCAAACACTGAATGACCATCTAAAGTGTCACCATTTTAAACATGTACAGTGTACCAGACTTTATAAAATTGAATATTTTTTTTACTAGCATGTAAATCTTTTTAGAGTCAAGAACCATATTTACCTCGAAATCATCAATTGTGTGTCTAGTTCACTTATTATGTTGTACTTGCAGTTTACTCATAGGTAGATTTAGATAACGCATTTTATAGAATTATTTTAGTTTTCAAGTATTTCACTATTTTTGATTGAGTCAACAACAAGTTATTCAAACTGTCTAATTCTTCTGACTTTTAGTTTAATCTTGCTTGAATTGAAATTTACATACAATTGAGATAAAAATACATTTTGTGTGTTTAGTATTAGGTATCTCAGTGTTTGAAAGAGCAATCTCTAGAAATTGTGCTGCAGTGTTACATATATATTATACAGAAAGTAAGTTAGGGTTTGTGGCGAACTGGTTGCTGTTTGTAATTGCTGAATACCAAAATTCAACAAAAAAATGTCAAAATTGTAGTTTCTTCCGACGCCGTGCTCGTCGTCGAAGCGCTATGATTGTATGCGGGTGTCAGGCGATTGAGGCTTTGATATTTTATTTACTGCTGGCGTGTAGCCTAAATATTTACCTTTAAACTCTTTCAGTTTCCCCTTCCGTGTCATCTCTAGCCCATAAGGACCGTGTGCAATAATTATCTTAACGCACTCTAGTAAGCGCGTACTCGTAATTGGAATAGTGGCGAGTGGCGCTCGGCGCCCCCTAAGGCCACTGCGCCCGTGTGCAACGCACACCCTGCACCGTAGGCAGAGCCGCCTCTGCTCCCTTTCAACGCTAAAGAATTGTCAAAGAAATCATTTATCTCTCTTCCAATTATGAAACTGAAAGGAAAGTGAAAAAGTTATTCAATCTAGCCAAAGTTATTTATTACATATCTACCATGCTTTTAACAGTAGATCAAACAAGATGCTGCTTTTATATTATAAATATTGTGTGCATACATTTAACATCAGGCTGCTGCAAATACTAATAATTTGTTTTAATGTAGACAAAACATACCTATATTCAAATTAATTTATTAGTACACCACCTATTTATTAAGGATAAAAACAATTTTGTAATCTAACATTTGCATTACTTGCCAAAAATTTTTGATTGATTTGCTGTTGTACAGTCTCAGTACGCTGCTCAAGTCTTCTACTGTAATTATTTTTCAATAACAAGTATGTACAGTGAGATTCCAACTTCATGGCATGACGGTTGGGAAGTGGTAACCTGGGCAACTATGCAGGCGGACACTCGGCGCACACCTTAATTGCGTTTAATGCTCCAAGACCTGCGCTAACTTCACAACCGCCATTAAGATTGCACCATAATATATCTACCCACTTTTACGACGCGACGCGGCGCTGGTAGCCATTCTATGTACACCGTTATGCAGTAATATCCCAGGCCCGCAGACCTTACTTATTTTCTGATGGACAAAATATGGACTACTATTTCATCATGATTTGTATAGATAGTTTTTACTAGAAAAGCTTCAGTGTGTAGGTCCAGGCTGGGTTCGTACCAGCAACCTTCCTATACCACCTATACCTATCCAGGCGATTGCTACCGAGATCCTAATGGACATGTTGAATTTTGTAATGGACTTAATTATGTTTCTGGAGCTGCAAGGCAGCGCCATATCTTCACATTATTAGTTCTGTTACGAATGGAGCCTGGTTCTGGAGACTAGTCGTTTTTATTCATAAAGCATTTTCTTTAATTATTGTAATTGAGTCACTATAATATCTATGTATTGTATTTATTAATATTTATAACATTGCACTTAAATGCACGTCAAAACTATACCTTAAAATTTGGTGTTATAAACAACATTTTAATACCTCTTTGAAGCCATTATATACACTGTATAAAGTTTTTTGCACAAAAGTATGTAAGGATTTGGGAAATTTTATGTGCACATGTTCTTAAGTTCTTTTTCGTGATTTTTTGAAGTATTTGTAAATATTTTATCTTTAATGGAGGGACCATATCGCTTTATGTTTTAATTTATTTTTTAAAGTATGACAATTTTATTTTAGTTTATGTGACAGTTTAAGTTGATCACATGCATTTCTGCATAAAGATACTGCGTAGTATACTTTTCAAGAATTTCACAACTTGTTACAACCAAAGAAGTTGTTGGTTGTGAAGTTATTATTTGCCAATTGTAATTGCTTGAATGAAGAAATACTTTATCGCGATTAAGCGCAAGCCGGCCCAAAATTTAAAACCTAACAACTTTTTCGTCTGTACATATTTTTTACAATATTACTACAATTGAGTCTCTAGTTCAGTTATTATTACAGATAAGTGGCTAAGTTAGTATTTTAATGTGTAAATAATGATTTATGTCATAATTTAATTGTACGCTTGAAAAGCTCTCTTGTCATTTTTTCTAGTTTATAAAATTTGGAATAAAACTTTTGATAAAAAAATACTTTGGGTTTGTTTTAATTTCAATAAAATAAAAGGTTTCAATATTGTCAATAATTTTATAACAAATTTACAATTATATTTACAAAAATCTTAATAAAGTAGGAAATATGATGTAACAATATTAATCGTTAGAATAGATCACCACAATACAAAATACATTAGTCTTTTCAGTATCATCCAAAACAAATGTCTTAAATAACATTTATTTTTAAATGGTATATATGGAAAGTTCGTAGTTCTTCATTTGTTTTCAGCACAAGTATAAGTAAGTATAAAAAAGTTTTCGGTGATGGCTTTTCCGGTGGTGACGTTAGTTGACTTTCTCATGGTCCTTCCCGAGGTCTTCAGCCGAGACCCATCACGAACTTTGGTATCTGGTAAGCTACTTGCGGTATTTGCATTATCATAGACATCCTGAAAAATATTAAATTCATTATGAATATTTTAATCGTGGTTACCGAAACGTGGTTGAATAATGACTTATAGACGTGAGGGAGATCAAGGAATTAGACGATCCTTAAATAAAATCACAAAATTTCAGGTAAACTAAATATTTAATAGTAAGTACAGTAAAAACTGTAGTGTTGGACAAAATATTCTAAGCCATTATCAGAAGGATCTATGGTCATCATTAAAGATGACAATCGTGCCCCATTACAGTGGACTCTCGGAAGGGTACAGGAGCTTCTTGCTGGATCTGACGGAGTGGTTAGAATCGCTAAGGTTAATACTGCAACCAATGATATCGTACAGCGGCGATTGGTTAAGCTGTGCCCTCTGTCTATAGAGGACTAACCGATTCTCATTCTGTAGGTGTAAGCTGACCATTATCGTCCTACATCATTTTTTTGTTCAAGTCTTAGTTTTATCATATTCGTAGTTTTTCATTGAAATAACCAGAAAATACCATAGCTATTTTGGTGGGTGGGATGCTCTGTTATCGTACTTATATATTTTGTAATTTTACCTTAGTATAACAGATATTCAAAATCGCGTCATTTGCCTTTGAAATCGAGAGCTTTTTATGGGTAATTTTAAAGTAATGAGGTGCACCCTTGAATGAGGGTTGCTAAGCACTTCCTACCATATAAGACGTGAGTAGCGGGCAATCCCGAAAATAGCTTTGTACATCCACCGCCCGCTTACTACTACGATTGAACGGAGTCTCTCATGCCTTAGTCACAAGATCATCGGCGGTTACTTTATTAAAAAAACCCTTCGTCGCTTCCCGCGGTCTTCTTCCGTGCGGCTCCATCATCACGCTGGACTGCGGTACTAACCCGTGAACCCATTAGCGCAGTGTCGAGTGAAATCATCGACATCCAAAGGTAAGGGAGTGTTTTATACTCGTTACTTACTAATTCCCGTATTCCAGTCTCGTTTATCATCGGCAAATTATTCGAATTAGTCTGACCTAGTTGTAGCAAACGCCACCAATCGTTTTTATTTTGTGTCACCACACACAAAATAAAAACGATTGCATGCTACAGACCTATACATATATTTTTGCAAGCTCGATGTTTTTAAGATTTACCTGATAAGGTACGGTTACGTTACGTAATATTGCGAATTTAGGTTTTATCAGGGTTTCGTTGAAGTAATCAGATTGGTGCAGGCGTTTTTCGGGAACTGCATATCAACTCCCCGTGAGTGGTACCTACCTATATATTCCCCAAATTCCATTTCATTAATTTCCAAACCTTCAATATGTAAAATTTTGCTACCAGCTAACTGCTAAAAGAATGAATTCATACCAACCTTATTTACATTGTCAGCGTCTGTACCCTAAGTGTTACATCCACCACCTTTTATACTTGCTGTACACTAGGACTAGGTCTGTACACAAAGAAATAAAAAATTAAAATAAAAAGCCAAAATACCAAGAAAGTAAGGTAATAATAATAAGTACCATCACAAAGAAAATAATAAGCTTATGTACACGAAGGGCCTTAGTCAGTCAGAGTTGTTAGTATCTAAGATAGAGCAGAGGTAATTAGTTCAATAATATTAATTAAATTAAGTAGGGGTGATATTTTAAGGTAGCCCCCCCCCCCCCCCTCTTAACTACGGCCCTGTGTACAAGTTAGAAAAAAAATGCCATTTGTACGAAATTTATGCTTCGTTTCGATATAAGTATAAAGCGAGGGCTTGTTTAGTTCAGTAATGGGTTAAAATCTTCTATAGACCTAATTTTAGGCAAATCAGGCAAAATTCCTACAAATGACAAACTGTGAAAAATAAGCACAAAGATCGGCTGCTCTAAACTAAATTCAAGTATCTGCATTTTCGCTAATTTTATAGGAGAACAGAATAAGTTTTTTTTTCTTAAAAATCAGTAATAATGAACCTTTTGAAATGTTAGTGTAGGTATGTACTTTAACCTTTATAAAGTATGTCTAGTTTGACATACTTGTTTTTTTTTCTGCTAAATACCTACTTGGTTTAAGCTTTATTTTTTTGTTATAGTTGAGATACCTACTGGAATCATTTTTTTCTTAATAGCTTTAAAACCAAAATGTGTTTTTTTTAAATGTAGAAATGTGGGTCTTTTGTTAAGGAATGAAACAGTGTAAAAATAAAATCGAGGTACTTCATTCGAGCTTAGTGCAGCCGAGATGAGGGTGCATAAGTTTTTCTGTTAACACGCAAGAAATGGGAAACCCATTTAATTATTACATTTAGGTTCCACTTGCACCAATAAAATGTCAAATCCATTTTACACATTAATATTAAGAAATGGTTGAAGTTAATACTGAGGTCATGATTTTATATAAAATTCTTGTAAAAATATTGGTACAAGTGGGTCTAATAATGATTATGAAGACAGTTGATCATACCATACCGCCATAAAAACCACCCTCAGTGCAGGAAAATAACACTGAAGAATACAGTTATTTGTCTTCAATCTTCTGGGAGGTTAATTCCCCAAACGGGCGCTCCGATTTGCGCGTTTAACTCGCATTTAGGGTTACTATTTAAAAATTTGAAAAGTCCTGACAAAAAGCCGGACATTTCGATAAAAGTCCGGACGTTTTAGTCACAAAATGCAAACATCACCCACTTAGTTACAGTGATATTATACGTGTAGTAGCAGACGCTCGCATCGCAAGTGGGGTCTCGTTATTGATTTTTAAAGATTATTTATATTTTGTTTTAAATTAACGAGAACCACATGACTGCAATAAATTGAATTGAATTGAACTTAATAAGTAGTTTTGCTCATATTTCATCTAATTAAAAAATCCGGACAAATTAAAAAGCCGGACAATAGGCAAAAAGTACGGACATGTCCGGACAAATCCGGACGGATGGTAACCCTAGGGGGCGTCCATAAATTACGTGAGGTGTTTTTTTAAATTTTATGCCCCTCCCTCCCCCCTGGTGAGATGTCGTGAGATTTTTTTCAACCCCCTCCCCCATCCCCCAATCTCACGTGAGATTTTTCAAAATGTGGGTTTCTTACTAAAATGCGTTGGATTGTTATTGTTAAAAGAAAAAAAAATGCTTCGTGCTTTTATTATGACTAGTTAAGACTAGTAATCAATATTGCTGAGAGTTATTTCTTTCGAACGAAATAGTGAATGATCTTAATCGTATTACGATTACGCTTAAGATTAAATTTTAAGCATGTACAATCTGGATTAAATGGACCTAAATAGTATATTTCTTTTTGGTTCAATCAGAAAAACAATTGCGTGATATTTGACTCGACCCCCCCTCTCTCCAACGTAAGATATTAGATGAGATTTGACTCGACCCCCTCCCCCCTTTAAACATCTCACGTAATTTATGGACGCCCCCCTACTAGCATTGCACCAGCTCTTAAATAATGTTCAGAGATTCATATTGATAGATATCTGGACAATCAACTGCAATTTTTGGCACATAATGTAGAAATAATCTGATGCAGTACCTATTCGGATAAAACAATTAATTTTTAATTAATAATGCCTAATTAATAAACTACTGTAGGAAGGCCAAAGGGGAAGATCTTCCTCCGAGCTGGGTGATGTTAGCTCGGGGGCCGCGGCCCGACTGATGTTGGTCGGGCATCGTATATATGTAAAATTTGCCTCCGAATTTCATTTGCGCGATGTAGGCTAATATTGATTCCATACTAATATTGATCGCAGTGTAGGTAACACCATCTCTTGAGGATGGTGAGTAATGATTTCCTCCATCCGTTGTATATATGTGGGGCATATAGATGTCGCCGCCACATCACTCCCCTCCGAGACCGGAGGTCGATGGTCAGTGTTTTCAGCAGTCAGTGCGTCAGTCGAGCTTGCAAGTGCCAGTGTGCTGCAGGATGCCCCAGTCTGCGGTGAGTCGAGACGGGTGGGGTGAAGGCGCGTCGCCAGTGCTGCAGAGTTGCTCCAGTCTACGGTGAGTCGAGACAGGTGGAGTGTGACGATGGGTCCGAGCTGCTGGTGTGCAGGGCTGCCACGCCGGTGTGCTTGCGGCCAACAAGTGAGGTACCGGTCGTGGGCTGCGAAGACCAAGTCGGGATGATGCCGTCGGGTGCTGCCGAAGGTCCAGGAAGCGTCGTTGAGAGCTGCGATGGAACCTTGAGGCTGATGCTCTGGCTTGCTGTATAGCTGCTGATGCTTGACCTGATGAGGAAGGGGTATGAGGATTGATGACTGCACTGCGATGGTAGAAGGTTTCTTCTTGCTGCTGCTGTTGCTCAGTCGAGGGTCACCAGTGTAGGAAGGCCAAAGGGGAAGATCTTCCTCCGAGCTGGGTGATGTTAGCTCGGGGGCCGCGGCCCGACTGATGTTGGTCGGGCATCGTATATATGAAGAATTAGCCTCCGAATTTCATTTGTGCGATGTAGGCTTCCATACTAATATTGATCGCAGTGCAGGTAACGCCATCTCTTGAGGATGGTGAGTAATGATTTCCTCCATCCGTTGTATATATGTGGGGCATATAGATGTCGCCGCCACACTACCATCATAGCTTAAGTTAAGACGATTGCTACTAATATCAGACTGTCATTCACACGTTGCCAAGCTGACCTTATTTACGTTGATTAGAGCCACCAAAACTTGTCTCAAAAGGTTGTGTTATTTACATGTTATTTCTGTTTTAATAAATTCATCGTAGTGCTACAATGAGATAATGATGGTGGCATTGCATTGCAATCATCGATTCAAAGAGTTTTGCTAGTTTATCGACTTTCTCTTGCGGGTTATGAGCTACTGAGCCGTTTAGACATCTCAGAGGTGGCAGCGATGGCTGACAAATGTTGTTCTGCACGGCCTTGTTGTCAGTTCGTAGCCAATACGTGCAACGCGGAGGATATTCGTTCTGATGTAAGGTTCTTGCAGAACACAGGAGCTGAGGTTGTATGCTGGCTAACCCTGAAACCCGCTCGAGAAGTTTTACACTATGCATACAGTGGTAACTAACCAGGTGGGCGTTAAGCCTTACCATCAGTAGAGCGGTTGGAAGCTCCGAGTTCCCTTAGTCGCTTCTTACGACTCTTCTTCTTCTTTGTCGTTACACTCTTGGCAGAGTGGTCGTGGCCTTTACTTCAGCGTCATCGGCGGATTTAGTGGAGGTGACCCGCTGCACAAAGCGACGCACCTCAACACCTCCCTCACGGCTGCTTTCCGTGTGCACACGTGTAGAGGATTATTGGCTTTAATTTGGTCAGTCCATCTTGTTGGCGATTTACCGCGTGCTTTGCCTTGCCTTTAACTCTACCCTGATCGACGAGACGCTCAATGGAAGCTTCGCCACTTTGAGACACGTGCCCGAAGAAAGTAAGGATGCCAGCTTGGACAACAGAGGAGAGCCGCTTATTGATGCCGAGTTCTTGGAGAATTGAGATGTAGGTTAAAAATTCTCTCCATGATAATCCAAGCATTCTTCTCCAGAACCGCATTTCAAGAGCATCTACCCTCCGTCTCTCACTTTCGAGTAATGTCCAGGCTTCTGAGGCATACAAAAATATGGCGAAAACTAGTGTTCTCACGAGCCGGGTCTTCGTGGCTTTCGTTATGTTATGGTCCTTCCATATCCTTTTTAGTCTCTTCATAGCAGATCTAGTAATAGCCATACGACGTTTGATATCATCGATGCTTCCGCCATTATAATAATTAACGCGTCCAGATATAGGTACGATTGGATCACATCACACTTATCGATTTGTATAACCTCGGGCGAGTTGTTATTGGCGCGATCGATGATCATCATCTTTGTTTCAGTCTGATTAATTTTCAGCCCGAACTCTCTGCTGACGCTTTCCATTCTATCTAATAGATCTTCCATGTGAGGAATACTCGTTGCAAATAGAGTGGTATCATCTGCGTAGCTTAGGTTTGGAATAGACAAACCTCCAATCGCGACACCATCTTGCCAGTCCTCCAGCGCAAATCTTATAATGAGCTCATTGTAAATATTAAACAGAAGTGGGGAGACGATACATCCTTGGCGGACTCTGGTACTGGGGTGAAACCGATTCGACAGCAATTCATCTGTTCTCACCGACGCTGTTCCATCCTCGTAGAGACGCCTCAAAATGTGTACGACATGTTTGGGTTTACCCATTTTCAGTAAAGTGTTCCCATAGCATAGGCAGGCTTGTTGAATTCTCGAGCCTTTTCAATAATTTGGCGCATTATCAGGATTTGCTCTCTAGTACCTTTGCCCTTTACGAAGCCAGCTTGTTCAGAAGCAATCTCTTTGGACAGGAAGGCTTTTGAGACGTTCATTTAATACATGTAGAAGTATTTTACTTGCATGGGATATTAAAGCAATGAGTCGATAATTGCTGCAAGTTTTCGTAGAGCTTCTCTTGTGTAATGGGATGAAGACTGTATGAGCCCACTCTTTGGGACATGGCCCTGTCTGCCAGATCTTAGTGCATATTCTTTGGAATAACTGGACACCACATTCTCCTGAAGCTTTAATCGTCTCTATATGGATACCATCTCTACCAGTTCTTTCCAATTCTTCAGGCGTTTAATTGCGGCTCCTATCTCATCTTTAAGAATGTCAAGTTCCAGCTCTTCATCCACAGGCTCTGTAGCATCAAAACAACGTGATTGTGGATCTTCAAATAGGGATTGACGGTATTCCTTCCTAGCCTCAGATATTGCATCTATTTTTGTAACTGTTTTACCGTGAGAATTTTCGAAAGCCCAAGTTTAAGAGCTGAGGCTTTTTGTGATAGAGTGAAATTTACGGTAGAGGTCTCCGGTTGTTTGCATGAGCTTCAATGCTCCTACCGCCTTCAAGCTTCGCCTATCTTCAACGAGCGCCAAAGTCGAGTCACCTATCCAGTTTTGTCGTTTGAGGGTTTTTGTAGTCAGTTCAGATTTTTTAACTGCAGTTATTAGGTCTTTTGCTCTATTTCACAATTATTCTTCTTACGACACCCACGGGAAAATGTTTCTCCGTCACTGCACGGATATAAGTAATATAATTTATATAATATATGTATATATTTTTTTTCTAAATAAAACTAGTTTTAACGGGTTAATGCACGAAACTTTATTTATTTATTGACGTTTCACAGCCTTTTCGCATTAGCGTGAATTTGCAGAGCTGGCGAAAATAGCTAGTCATAAAAAGACAATGACAAAAAGTCACGTATGTATCGTAGACGCGGCTATAGTTTTATCAAACTGCTCTGAGCATGTTGGTATTGGAATTAATCTGTATGTAGTGTTTATTAACATGATGTATTTTGAATAGCTAGAAGCTAGACACCTAATTAAGCTTGAAGTTTATAGCAGATAAAGTTATGAATAAGAGAAGCTTCAAAACTTAATGGTTTGCAATATGAAAAGAAACATTATTTTTGATAAATCTTGCTAAGTCTATTTAGATAAGGTTGTTTTTTACTTAAGTGTGGGGTGAAATGAAGAGTATGCGAACTGTAATAAGTTACACGTTGATTGATAGGCCTTGTTAGAGAATTGATTTTTTCATAATATCAGTTTAAAAGAAGATTGTAGTGGTGGGTAGTTAGTTTCCTTAAGCACCAAGTAGGTTTAAAGATATTTATTGGATCTATAAAACGCGGGCCGCACTAGGAGCGAGACGACGAACATCGCTCATTTAATTTACTACTAAAGTTTAGTGGCCCTCATTAGTAGTCTGAATTGAAGAAGTTCTTGACGCTTCGCTTCTAATGTCACCCGGGCTTCAAGTGATTCTGAAACATTAGCAGCAAGTGTTACCTCCATTTGAGTGAGTCTCGTGTGTGATGAGATGAAGGTTGAAGCACTTACGAGACAGAGATGCCTGTGATGAGATGAAGGTTGAAGCACTTAAGAGACTGAGATACCCTGCTACCTCCGCTTAGGTTAGGCTGGTCTGTGACGAGATGAAGCACTTACAACTACAGAGATGCCTGTGATAAAGTGAAGGTTGAAGCACTTATGTGACATCGATGCCTGTGATGACATAAAAGTTTTCTTACGAGACAGAAATGCCGTTATACAGCCATGCGCGCCAGGTCTGAGGCGCGGGCGCAGCGCCATCGATGCGCGCCTCGATGTGGCCGCAGAGCGCGCGCCGGTCGTGCGAACGTCCCGACCGTGCATCGCACACTAGGCGCTTGCGACACTCGCTGTTGCAGATGCCCCGACGGGGGCTGTTCTTCCAATAATGTCTGCAATAAGAATACGCAAAATGATGTTGGAGCTTCCATGGCTATTCGAATTTGTCTGACTTAATTTAATTGCAGTACCTCTTTTCTTATTTTCATGCCCTAATACAGAAGAGAGTTCTCAATAAAGAAAATTCTGTTGTCAAATCTAGTTTCGCAATTACAAACACATATCTGAAATGTCTGTTGCAGATACCCCGACAGTTAGTCAATAATTTCTGCAACAGGAATACTTAACTTGCTGGCTATCACATAACTATTCGTATTTGTCTGGCTAAATTTGAACACCAGTACACCACCACTATATTTAACATGCTCTACAGGAAAAGAAAACTCTCTTTGCTATCAAATCTACTTAGGCAAATCTTGTTCTATAATTTATGAAGACCTGGGTCCAATTTCTATCTTTTTTTATTTTTGCTATCCCTCTCATTTCATAATTGGAAAAGTAGTAAGTATGTCACTTGAATTTGTTTAGCTCTGAAGGGGATAGCGAAAGAGATAAAGTTAGACCATATTCCCTGTATTCACACACGGGTGTCAATGAAGATCATTAAACGTTCAGGTCGATGATTAGGTAGATTTATGGTATTTTTTAATGAACATTGACAATAAGTGAGTAATTCGCACTTGTGATATAGGTTGAAGATGTCGTCGTTGGAGGTCATGTTGTCGATGAAACGATCCCAGTCCTGCGGTCGGAGCGCCGGCATCCGGTAGGCGGCGCGGGCCGAGTACAGCTTGTACCAGATCGGGTAGCCGAACTGGTTCGCCTCCTTCAGATTCATGATCCAAGTTTCGTGGTCTATCACTTGCTGTAAAATTTGAAAAGGTGTTTGTAGTTAGTTCATTTATGTAAAAGGTAAGTAAGTCGCGACTTCATAATTTTTTTAAGAGATGTTCGATTCCACCCGTTAGTAAATATCTATATTGCATACAATATATTTCAGGTACATTATATATTATTACATACTTCTAAGTATACCTACCATGGAACACGAGACAGAGTTTTTTAAACTTGTGTGTATGTTGCAGTTAGATTGTAGATTTATCTGTATTGCAAAACGTCATTTTTTTACGTACCCAATAAAACCGATCTTATTGCCAAGCTGTCATATTACAAATACAAAGCGGCTTCGTTTTGTAATACAATAACTAGCCGAAATGTAATACAGCGGTCAGCGGTATCTTATTGTTTTTTCATCATTACCAGCCTATTTAATGTCGCTACTGCTGGGCCATCGAGCACAAGCACCGGGGACACAGGCCTTCCCAATGGATGGAATAGGGAGATTGGGCCGTGATCCACCACTCGGGCCCAGTGCGGATAGGTGGAAACCTATTAACGACTGCAGATGCGGGCGGGACCAACGGCTTAACGTGCCTTCCGCAACACGGAGGCACTCGAGATAATAAGTTTTAACGGTTTCTATATTTCTACAATCCGCCTGCGACAAATATATACTTTAGAGTTCAAATGGCCAACAGCCGTGTGAAAATGTGTGCAATATAATATTACCGTGGCAATGTCAATGTCGAGTCAACGTACTTAATTCTTGACCTTGTTCACCTCAGTATATTGCCTATTGTCATTCTGGGAGGAAATAGTACTTTGTAGTAACATGCTTGTAACAACTAACATCTTTATTCGATGTCACGGCTTGGTAAAGCTGTACAAGATGTCAAATATGTTTTCCTAACTATTTATTGACTTAAAATACCTGTAGATTGTTTATCTATCGTAATTTGAACACTAATTGCTTCTTAAGCGGAGTTAGGTATATGTACTATTATTTACCGCAGATAATCAGTTTCACCAATCAAGCGATGCATGAAATGAGCATGACTTGCAATGACAAAGGCAAAGGCTAATTTACTAATTTTAACTCACTCTGGTAGTTGCTGGATGATCTCCGTCGACGTAATATATTCTATATCCAAGATTCAAATCATAATATGGTGATACAGAAGGTCCTACATAAGCAATACTGGTTGCTCTACCTGCAAAATGGAAATCCATTAAAAATAACCTTATGCTCATCCCACCCCTGCGTGACGAAGTTTTGGTACTAAAATGTGCTAAAATTAGCATTCCAACTTTGTATTGAGTACGCTCCTTCACATACACAATCGTCTCCCACAACCTTTTTTAGCATTTCAAATTATCGCCAGTCAAGCTATCATCTACGTCTCGCATCTATAGACACGCAGTCCGATAATTCATTACGACAGAACTAATTTAAATTTCGAGTTTAATACCAAAGCCAGCCGAAACTTCGTCACGCAGATATGGGAGAAGCATTACATCAAACTGAAACATAATTTTTAAGTGGGTTTTGTAGCGTCACTTGCCTAGATCATTAGGGTCGTAGAAGACTTCAAATTCGTCATAGTGAGTGTGTCCAAAAAATTGGGCCGTGATTGTGGACTCATATCGGTTGACGATGGCGTAGTAGTTTCTGCTCCAGATCTTCAAGCAGTCGGAGTGACCTGGCGGTATGTGACCAATTATGTGCACCTTCTCGCCGCTAAATTCTGCCGTTTGCAATTCGTATATTAACCACTGCAGCTCCGTTGCAGGGTCCGTGCTGTTCATTAATAGCCACCTGCAACAAGAAACATTTAGGTGATTCTAATATAAATCCTAGTTAAGTACTTTATTATGTCTATCCTACACACTTTTCGTAGGTAAACAGATACACTGACGCTTCTGATAAGAAAGAAAATATGGTAAAGTTTCCCAGTAAATCAGAAAAAGGAGCAAATCTGAAGTAGCGTCTTACTGTTTAACATTAATAATAATACATTAACTAAGCCAGTTTGTTCTTACGTCGTGCAGGGGTACTGCTTATAGATTTCATAGAAAGTTTGACGATGCGTTACGGTATTTTGACAGAATCCGTTAGGATATTTTGTTGCTCCTAAACACCCTAAAGGTTAAATTTGAATTAACCAAGTTTACCAGTTCTTGTTATTGCAGTAGCTGATGTTGAGGTATAATATGATGCGGAAGCTAGGGTTCTGTGCACGAAGACTGATAGAAAGCGCCTCGCCTCACGGTCGGCGACACACCAGGGGCCAATCGCCTAACTATATTGCTATGGCTATCGCTATCGCTTATGATTACATTTTCTTATTTCTGACCGCTGAAGGTTTTGAAATGCCTCGCGTTCGTTTTTTTCTTATGCATTGGTAATAACAATATTAAATGAAATGTGTGTAAGATATTGGAAAACTTTCGTGGGTCAGAAATAACAAAATGAAAGCGATAGCGATAGCCATAGCAATTCCCCCCAGCTGGGAATCACAGCCGCGCCGGCACTACGAGTCGAGCTCGTCATGTAACCACGCTATATTCAGGTCCGGTGACGATATATAAGGTAGCGGGAAACAGAATAGGGTATTTTTTGGTCCTTAACACCCTAAAGGTAAATTTAAATGAAACTGTACCAGTTCTTGGTATTGCAGTAGTTCATGTTGACGAGATATGATGCGGAACCCTGGGCGCACGAGGACAGAGTAGAATGCGCCTTGCCTCACGGTTGGCGACAGACCAGCGGGTAACCACCTCCACCACTGTGAGTGGACCTCGTCATACAACCACACTATGTTCAGGTCCGGTGACGATATATAAGGTAGCGGAAAACAGAATAGGGTATTTTTTGGTCCTTAACACCCTTAAAAGGTAAATTTAAATGAAACTGTACCAGTTCTTGTTATTGCAGTAGTTCATGTTGAGAGATATGATGCGGAAACCCGGGCGCACGAGGACAGAGTAGAATGCGCCACGCCTCACGGTTGGCGACACACCAGCGGGTAACCACCGCCGCCACTGCGAGTCGAGCTCGTCATACAACCACGCTATGTTCAGGTCCGGTGACGATATGTAAGGTGGCGGGAAACTGAAAGAGTTTTTTTTATGTCGTAAGGTGAGCCTGTGGTGTTCTTAGTTTTAGAATCCCCCGGGTACAGCCAAATAATATATCTCTTGCACTTTCAGCAATTCCTAGGCTGATTTCCCATACATTCTGAGGACCAGTAAGCACTGTCAGCTGTGCTATAAGGCATGTATTAAGGGATAGGGGTAATAGAGATACTTATAATTAACCTAATTATTTTTTACGTAACTACAAATGCACGATTGTTGGATAAAGTATAACATGAGAAAAGGAATGACTAATAAGTAAAAAAATAAGTGAATTTCAAAAATAGCAAGCAAAGTCATAACTTCAAAGTATTTATGCTAACCTTTAGAAATAGCAATAACAGCCTCTATGTAATAACAGCAAGAAAATACCATATGATTATTATAGTAATAATTGTTAGAATCAGGTGTAAGTAGAACAAAATTGTATACGTAATTTAAAGACGGTGTATAAAGACCTTCAGTATTAAGGTTTATCGTTTAGGTTCCTGGACAAGTTCAATAATTTGTTATTTTGATTATTAGGGTTTCATTTCTGTTTCTTCGACTTTCACAATCTGTGGCATTCAAGTGCAAAATCCTGTACGACCAACTAGCACTTGATCAGTTATATTATTGCTTATTTTAGGAAAATTGCACTCAACTACTTACATTCAAATTATACTATAGGCGGATGTGATATATCAGATATTATGAATGCGGATACAACTTTTAAACAGAAACAATTTAGAATGTTTTGATCCAATACCTATTCACTGGAGATGCTTCATGATTGCCGAGCGCAGGGAAAATGGGAACCCCCGGGAACATATCCGACATCTGCGCTACAGTCTCTTGCAACACTTTCAAGTTCTCTTCTTTGGTCTGATTCCAAATATCATGCGGTGGCAAATCTCCTGTCCAAAGAATGTAATCTATGTCCTGGAAAAGAAAATTATGATATTGTTTAGTAGCTATAATTATTTACATTTATTGATTATTATATTTCAAATTTTTTGGGGCTATGCAGTCTCAGTGGAACCTGTAGTCACTGTGATCTAAAAGATCTATTGTGATTCGCCATCAAGTTAAAGTATCTCTTTCAGCTCGACTGCTTCCAAAGTACTTAGATAATGTACAAGTTAAACCGCTGAAGTGTTTGATTTAACGCAGGTAGCTAATGTTTAAATAGATAGCTATCTACATATTATAGTAGGTAATTGTTTGCGGAAATTGCACAGTACTTACGGTGTGTGTGTCGGCGATGTGTTTCAACATGTGGTCAATGGTGCGCTTCGGTGTGTCGCATTTGCGGTAGTCTCCCCATCGGCCGGCGCCGCCGCTCGGAGTCAACGCTGGTCCGCTCGATACACGGCAACATAACGGTTCATTGCATTCAGCGTTTGCACCTGTGACATAAATAAATATATGTGCTTGTTTATAAACAGTTATACGCCATTTTGTATCCTTTGCTAGATTAGCACAGCTTCAATTACGCCACACGCGGACCGCGCATCGCATACTATATTATTCTCGAGATACGAAGTGTAAAAACCGAATATGTTAATAAATTCAAAAAGTAACACCTTATAATATTAATACATGTTAGGGTTGACTCAATCTTTCATTAACAATAAAATATTGAAAAAACTTCATTCCAATACATAGTCAAAATAAAAGTTCGTGACTTTTTTGAGCGACACAACACGTTAATATAAACGCCCAAAATTAACATACCTTCAGCGTAATACGGATCGAAGTGTGTATCAGATATTTGCAAGACTTTAAATGTTTGTTCTGTATTCACTGGAACACCAAGAGCTCTCACTGGAGGTTTCGGCACCGGAGGGAATGCAACTTCCCATTCGTGATACGGATTATAAACGTCGCCGCAAGCGTCTCCTATCACGAAACTGCAAATCTCATTGGGACCAATCGTTATCCGTTCCAACACATACACAACTTCACTCTGGAACACGAATTGAATATTAAGAGAAAATTTATTGATATTGGGTAACTCCTAATTTATATGAAACGATAGGTACACCTACCCCAAAAAGTCTCGTTATTCCTTCGCAAACTCTGGCAGACTGAATATTTAGTGATACGCAGAACTGAAATATCATTTTATTGATTTCTTCCTTACTCTTGCCAAGCTGAATGTAATGTTGCAACAGTCCCGCACCGGCCTTGCATGCAGTGCAGGAGACCTTGGACATGACTGAGTGCTCCACTTCATAGTACACTTGTTTCAAGTTTAGGAGTTTTAAAGCTTTTTCTACGAATAGTGGTAAGTTAGTACTTTTGTCGCTGTCCCATAATAAGCGTGAATAATTCCGCTTCAGCGTAGATATGTGTGCTAATAGTTCAGTCTCGTTGGCAGACGGCGGTAGCTTATGGATAAAGTTTGAAGGCGTGAAGAATGGCTCCTCGTCACGTACATTCGTGGTCCAGTTCCAGTTGTCCTTGGGTGGTTTCCATTTTATTACTGGTTTGTGTGCTCTACCTTGTTGTAAGAATATAGGGCTACCTAAAAATACAAAAATAGTTTCATTTTCAGGATTCCAAGTTCAGAAAATTTTAACATTCAGGAAATGTAATCAAAATACAAAATAAGTTTTTCCCAAAAAAATATGAAACACCACTTCATCAATTAGAAAATTCTAAATATCGTAAAAAGTATATATATTTTTTTACATTTAATCTTTATTGTCTTCACAATGCAAATGGCGGACTTAATGCTAGAATGGCATTCTCTACCAGTCAACTGGAAAGAAGGTGCATAGAAAAAAAACGGCAGACAACGAACAGAGTAAACATCAAATCATGATAAAATTGAATTTAAATACCATTTAATACTTATATATTACACATAAATATATATAAATATACATTATATCGACATATATAATACACAGAAACATATACTTAAAAAATAACATATCTACCAATAATATAGCGTGTATGTGTCTCACTTTGCGATAAATTAAAATAATGTCCTAAACGCAATCCTTTTTGGGGCATTACGCATGTGTAGAAGAAGTGCATTCCAGAGCCTTATGGCAGAAAGGATGCATGAACTAAAGACAAACCTAGTATGGTGAATGGGTAAATTAAAATTATCATTGGAACGGAGATTTAATGACTGCCGAGTGCTTCAAGCGACGCAAATATTCAGCTCTCAATGAAAACTAAATCTTTGCGCCGTTTGGTATAGAGCCTATGGGCATGGTATGAGCCCATGGGGTTAGGACCCCTCGTTCCCTTTTTAAGGAAATGTCAAAGAGGCGAACCGAAGTGACTGTTGATCAAAAGGCTGGCAGCTATCTTGGTCAACGGATCAGCCTTGCCATCCAACGTGGCAATGCTGCCAGCTATGCCCAATAGGCATTGGGCACCATTCCTGATAGCGGCGCTGGGGGTAATATATCACCCCCAGCGCCGCTATCAGGAATTTTATATTGTAAATTATTTATTTAAGTAGGTTAAGCTACATAGTTTTTAAGTTTGCGTTCTTAAAATGTCTAATGAAAATAAAGTATAAGTATACAAACAAAAACTAAGAAATAGTTGATTTATATCAGTACCTAAAACAAACATCAGTATAATCAAACAGGGGATGAACCTGGGTTTGTAAAAGAGAAATTTTAGTACACGGAGGGAAAAAAATCTTGAGGCGATAAAGCGAACCAAGTGTTCCAATTACCTTGCGACGTATATTTTCCATTTGGCCATACCAACTAAGCATAATATTGAAATAAGTTGGTACTTAACATTACGTTAATTTTTTAAAAATAATACACGTACCTGATATCATAGTAGTAGTTAGAGCTACTATCAGTAGAGGAAGCCATAGTGATCTTATAATCATAACTGGGAGGGAAGAGGGAAATGTCTGTAACAATCAAATTACATCTTTTAATTACAATAAGCTGTTGATCAATGCAGCAATCACTATTCGTAGCATAATAGTGAGTGAACACTTTCATTATTGTTTAACTTTCAATTATACACTTTTTTATCAGTTCGAATTTCATATATTTTTTTTATCTTTGTAACTAACAGCTTTGTGCCTTGACTCATGACCGAAATGAAAACAACGTATAGGTGGAATAAACTAACTTTTCACACGAGTGCTGTAGTATAAAACTGATATAAAAAGTTACACTTTCAAATAGGTTAAAATTTATTTTTCTGTGAAACTGTTGATGCTTTGATCACCGTTATACGACTAAATTGAAAAGACTATGAAAACTATACTCTGTTATCATAACAATATTGTTAGTGTACATTAGACTTATGACCTTTCAGCTCTTGTTCATTAATGCCGATCAATTACGAGCTGTTGTTTCCTTGCCCTATCTAGCTTTGATCGACACGCACACGTATGACGTACATGAGACCAATTTTTATTATTAAAAAGATGAATAATTCAGAAAATTCAGTAGGATGATCTTTGTTATGTAGGGTCAATCAACTATTCCTTGCTCGATGTTACCCTTTTCCTGTCCCATAAGCATAATACAAAATCTACCAAAAAATATACGCTAAAATCATAATTTATATATTCCTAGAAACATTTACAAACATATAATCAAAGAAATATTGAGTTTTGGTTCAAACTAAACAATCTTTTATGGTTGTCCTAAAGACAAATCGATCATTTCGTGATATCACGGAATGTCCTCCGGAAACAGGTCATCAAAACTATTTCCATTACGAAAAAAACTCTATGAAACAATTCTCAGTAATTGAAAAAAATCACTTTCAAGTATGTACTCTGTTAATAAAACATATTGGTATTTATTAAGGTTAATAAAAATTACCAAACTATTTTATTTTACTTGTGTCCCCAAAAATGTTTGCTTAGCTAACGTCACCTGGACCACCGCTAATTTAGTATGCGAAAAAAACATAGATGGCGGCTGAGTACGTTAGCAACAAGGCCGTCTCTCTAAGAAGATGTCGCGTCCTACCGCCATTTTTATTTCAACAAAGGCGTGGCGTCAGTCGGGCGAGTTCCGTAAGTGAAAGTGCGTGTTCTTATTGTCGTTCCAGCGGACAACCGTCAGAATTCCATAAGTACTCAATATTTAACAATTAACTATATTGTACTAGATGTTGTGTCAGCTAGATTTTACTGTGTGAGTAAGGAAAGAGGCAATAAAACGTTATTATTTAATAGGAAGCCAAAAGTTTATAAAACGTCTTACGGACAACCAGTCACTTGGACAACGAAATTGGTGGTCCGTAGGACATTTTGGTTGTCCTTAGGACAAATAATATTATTTTGATGATAAACATCTATAAATTAAATATTTATTCGTGCATTGGTTGTGACTATTGCTTCTACACCAAGAGGGCAGTGGGTTTGAATCCCACACAGTAACTTTTGTGTTAATGAACATGTATCTGAGTTCATCAGATGTTTAGTACCCATAGTATAGTACAAGCTTCGGCTTAGTTTGAGACTAGATGCCTCGGTGTGGTCTTGAATGCCAAGTGCTGAATTTTTTTTTTGAAAATGGGATTTTCGGAGAAAGAAAAGTCGTGACGATACAGAGAGAGGCTTAAAGCGTGCCTATAAAAATTAGCTGAAAGGAAGAGAAAGAACTGAGAAAGCTATCATAAACACAAAAAGTTAATTTCAAGTATGCAGCCTGAGGAGCAAAAGAATGCAGAATTATTTGGAAATTGCGTAAACAGGAGCAGAGGAAATGAATGCAAGTAGTACGAGATGTATTTTTCAATACACCCGCAAGTTCTCCGAATATTTTGGAGGAAAGGTAGGAAAACCCAAAAAAATTGGAGGAATTTGATATACCGCAAGAACAACAAGCAGTCACACCGCCTCCTTCTCCTGCTGTTACGTTGGATCCTGAATGTAAAGAAAGAGGAAGAAAAAAAACGCAGAGATAGATCTAATAGTAAAGAGAAAATTTGAAACTACGAATTGAAGCAAAGATATGGAAGAAAAAATACGAAAAATTTAAAAAGAGAGCTAATCGTAAGAAGAAAGAATTAGTTCAGGTGAAAGAGAATTTAAAACCTAAAGAGAATAATCCTAAGGTAGATTGCGAGGTAGTCTATAAATATAATATATTGACTAATGCTATCAAAGAAAACTACAAGAAAACTAAAGACAGATGAGCGAAAACTGAGTGAAAGAATATGTTTGATAACATGGATACAGCGCAAAAAAATAAAATCATAAAAGCAAAAACAACAACGCGCCATGGACATACAGAACTCTCAAAAAAAGGAATACCGCTGGTAAAAAAGAAACTGTCACTAAAGGCAAAATGAAGATGCAAAAACGGTTTCTTTTGGAGTCTATGAAAAATCTTTTTAAAGCTTTTAAGTCTGAAAATCCAGGAATAAAAAGTTCTTATTTCAATTTAACAAAATAAAGATTAAAACCTGTACATTTGTTCCCAAATTAATGTATTTTTTTGACGACCTCCGTGGCTGGGTGGTTTGTACGCCGGGTTTCATGGTGTCGCAGGCTCGAGAGGTCCCGGGTTCGAATCCCGGCGGGGGCAGATGTTTGTGTCATGAATACGAGTATTTGTACTCCAGTCATGGATGTTTGATATATATTTCTATATAAATATATTTATGTCCAGTATATTTATATATGTACAGTATGTATTCTACCCGTTATCCTAGTTGGCTCAGACCAAAATGAAAAGTAAAGACGGAGTCTGCCGAACAAAAAAGTGAAGTCGGTTTTTTATGTACGTAGTGCATTAGCCAGTGTTACCATAGTCATTTATAATACCCCAATATTAGAAAAATGTAATAACGTTATTTCATAACGTTATAAAATATTAGAAAAAAATATCGTAGGCTTATTCTCTAAACTATACTTCGACTTTTTATTAGATGCAGTAAAATGACGTTTCAAAATGTCATTCCGTAAAATAATGTTGACCGCCGAATTTCAATAGTTCACAGAAAATCTAATCGTTCCATAACTAACTCATAATGATCATACTTAATTCTATTTATTATTCATATAAATAAAAGGCTGTATAAAATCTCAAGTTGGTACTGGTTTTTAGTTATGGTGCTACGATGAGGCTTGTCCGCCATTTTATTTCATTTGTCATTCGCTCATTCGGCTTCTAACTTCTGTTTTGAGTGCACGAATAACTTTGCTTTGCCCACTGCGAGTTGTTTTAGTTATCTTTATTGTTAAATTTTTGTTACGTTATGTTTGTTTTTCGTTATCTACTTTTTCTTAATCGTGTCAGCTTTTTTTGTTTGTTACATCGAAGGCATGGATGCTCAGTTGAGCATATCACAAGATGGAGATACATTTCTATCTCCTAAGAAAAAAAGGCCACGTGTAGCTTTTAGTGCAACCGAGAAACTTTGGGTCAGAAACGTTTACAAATATGTGTTTGAAGTGAAATCTACAGAATCAAATATTGAAGTTCCAAAAACAAGTGAATGCGTCAACAAGGTAGCTGAAGGGCTCAGTTTTCCATTAGTTGTGGTTGAGTACCGAGCTGAGATTTTTGTCACGGAAAGTATTAATTATTAGGAACACGTACACGAAATCTTTTTATACGGAAACGAATAGAACTCGAGAAAAAAATATTGAAATTTAATATTTTTGTAGGTATTGTAAAGTCAATTTTGACAGCCATTTTGATCAGTGCTGCCATTTTTCATGCAGAAATAACATGTTTCTCGTTGTCTGTGGTAAAAAATATGTTTATTATGTTGCAAAATGACAGATGTCCCGCCGTTTTGTGTTTGTTTTGAGAAATGTCAGTCAGTCTGTGTTCGTCGGTAAAAAATATATTTACTTGGTAAATAAGAAATAGTATGGGCTCCACACTTAGAAATAAAGGTAAATGTGGCTTTACAACAATCTTTAATTCAGAACCGACTTGGTCAACCCCGACTAGGGTTGCAACGATATATCGGAATATCGATAATATCGAGACCAAAATATCGATATTTATATCGATATTTAAAATTCATTGATATCGATAATATCGATATCGGAAATTCCAAAATATCGATATTTCGTAGACTAAATTTGAACACAATAATACCTGCTATGACTATCTAAATTGAATAATATCGAAATAACTATTGCTTTGAAATCTCAAGAGCTTATAGATGTATTAAAAAAATCTTGAACCCCAAGAAATATACTAAACTGGTGTGGATTCTGGCATGATTCTGTAAACCTAAAATTAAATTTGACAACAGTGTATCCTTGTCATTCTCTATACAGAATGAAAAGGAGAGACTGATGTTGAATTTAGTTTTAAGTTTAGATAATCATGCCAGAATCGACACCAACGTATATAGTTATAATCGTATACCTAATGGTAACTCATGCACTTAAATAAAATCCTTGCCTCTCTTTCTAGATAATTGTCTACTACTGATTAATTGAAATTTAATATCAGTGTAATAAAACACAAAATAAAATTAAGAATCGTATACAAATCGTAAATTTTTTAAGCTAGCCAAGTCAAGAAAGTAAGATAGATATAGTAATTTTGGAAGCTTTGGGCTTACCCGATTCTGAAGCCATGGGCACGCCCCTGATGTGTGGGAGACTAAGCAATTTACGTATTTGATGTGCGCTAAAAAACCGACATAGCTTGGAAAAGCACGAATGTAGTGAAAACTTAACGAAGGCATTTGCAAATGTCGTCCCACATATGCGGGTTGGCGCATTTGTGCTAGCGAATGTGAGTGATCTGATCAGGATAATAATTTTATTTTTTTTGGTTCCCTGTCGTGGCTGATACACAAACCGTGCGAGCCAATAAAAAAAAATCCTGCTTGGCGCGATTTCATCAAGCGTGTTTAACGAAAAAGCTGCTTCAATGCATTTTTCGAGAAACTCGCCAACAAACATATGAATGTGTCACACTCACCCCGTATTCTAATGTCAATAAAACAAACCAAAAGAAAAAAAATCGATATATCGATAATGGTGTCAATTCTAGCATGATTCTCAAAACCTAAACTTAATTTTGACAGCAGTATATCCTTGTCATTCTCTATACAGAATGAAAAGGATAGACTGATGTTAAATTTAGTTTTACGTTTAGAGAATCACGCCAGAATTGGCACCAATATCGAGTTAAAATGGTCGATATATCGGATATCGATATTTTCCTGACTTCGATATAAATATCGATATTTCAAAAGACTTTGCATCCCTAACCCCGACACACCGTGGTCTTGGTCTGCCCTACCCCTAGAGTGTTTTTTTAGAGCCCGGAGGCGCGTAGGGAGAGCAGCCCCCGCCTGCTGTGACAAAGCCGCAAGCATCGTGCGACCCGTAGCTGAGGCTGGTCAACAAGCCGAAGGTGTCAAGGGGAGTGATGCTTGTGACTTTGTCACGCAAAGGCGGTGGGGCTGCTATTCCCGCAGCGCCGGAGATAAGGCAGAACTACTGGTTCTTACTTCCCTAGTTCTTGCATCCTAAAAAAATTATGATTTTTTAGGTTAGGTTAATTAAAAAAAACATGCATTTCCGTCAAAAATCTTTAGTAGGGGGGGAGTCGGAGAGACCCCCTCCTCCCCCCCCACATCAAAGCTACCCCGAAATTCCACCACAACTAATGGAACTAAATTCCATACCCCAAAACCTCGCGCATTTAAAGAAAAACTTGATGATTTCACATTCACCGCTATTAGACGAATTGTATATCAGTTCTTTCATAGAAATGAATTACCCACCATCGCATAGGTTAGTTTAGCTGTCATCACTAATCTTTTTATTACACGTTAGGTATAAATGCTTTCTCACACCCCATGTGGAATTTTAACCAATTAGATTTAAGAGTGGCTGAACCAAATATAGTGAAGGCCACTCTCATAGATATTGTGAAACAACAAAATCATACTGAGAAATATGCCGTGGACGAGATTGCTGCATAAAAAGGTATCAGACTTTTAAGACTGCCCCCTTATCACTGTGAATTGAACCCCATCGAGATGGTTTGGGCTCAGGTAAAGGGGCACGTCGCAAACATTAATAAAACATATAAATGCAACTTTATTCCAAGAAGGATTCAACAAAGTGACACCGGTTAAGTGGAGTGACTGTGTGTCTAACACTATAAAAGAGGAAGACAAAATGTCGATCATATTATTGATGAAATGACAGACAGATTTGTCATTAGTGTGACCGAAAGCGACAGCGATAGTGATACGGAAAATATTTGATTAATAAATAACACTGTTATGACTTTTTGTTTAATTTTGAATGTACGTCCCGATACTTCCAATGAAAAAGATCAATCCTTTACTATAGTAATAATAATAGAATAAAAAATCATTACAACTTAATATTAAATCTCTTAAACGAAACCAAACTGATCACTCGTTTATTGAAAAAAAGTTAAGTAAAAAAAATACAGATTTGGATATGCATTTTGTTTTACACGACGTAAACCTTTTGTTGTGTAGTACAAATCGTCGCTCTGAAAATGAGTCGAACAAACCACGCTGCGGGAAGCTGGTTGCTACAATGGTTCATTTCTACTCTTACGAATGACTGCAATCCACTTCTCTTTTTAGATTTTGATCTCGATTAGAAATCGTATAAAAAACGTATAATATATAATGTGTATTAATTACATCCCAAAAAAATTATATGATTTCATTTCAAAATTCATTCAATCCATACATTACAGCAGCATCGTGCGACCCGTAGCTGAGGCTAATCAACAAGCCGAAGGTGTCAAGGGGAGTGATGCTTGTGACTTTGTCACGCAAAGGCGGTGGGGCTGCTATTCCCGCAGCGCCGGAGATAAGGCAGAACTACTGGTTCTTACTTCCCTAGTCCTTGCATCCTAAAAAAATTATGATTTTTTAGGTTAGGTTAATTAAAAAAAACATGCATTTCCGTCTAAAATCTTTAGTAGGGGGGGAGTCGGAGAGACCCCCCTCCTCCCCCCCCCCCCCCACATCAAAGCTACCCCGAAATTCCACCACAACTAATGGAACTAAATTCCATACCCCAAAACCTCGCGCAAAACTGGGCCCAAAACTTACATTTAAAGAATTACATCCCAAAAAAATTATATGATTTCATTTCAAAATTCATTCAATCCATACATTACAATATTCGAATAATATAAGAGTATGCTACACAATGTATTTACTAAAATAACGTTACGTTATATTTCACGCTACCCAACAAAACGGTAAACCTGTAACGTATAATCATGGCAGCATTTCGTTCAGGTATTGTTTACAAAGCGACAACCTCAAATTTGATTTTGATTAATTGAAAATATCAGTTTATAACTTTACTTACGTATGAAATGTGATTCCATCCTATTTTTTATTCTTGGAAGATTAGTTTCTACACGTTTTCACTACACAATTCGGCATTTTCTCTAGTAAATATTGTTATTTATTATTACGTCACACTCCGCGCGCCGGGATAGCTCGACTGGGAAGCTAAGGCGTAGTTTCGTTGCATTTTTGTGCGTGTAACTGTGTATGTACACAGCAAGGCGTAGTTTTATCGGCTTCACTTTTTGGTTCGGCAGACTCCGTCTTTACTTTTTATTTGGTTTGAGCTAGTAGGGTATCCCATAACACAAGCCTTTCAGTGCTTACTTTGGGGCTAGGCTAATTGGTGTGAGTGTTAGAAATATTTATTTATTTATTTTGAATTTTATAATTCTTGTTTTTACATTTAACGATTTGATCGTAAAACCACACAGGTCAAAACAATAATTTCTTTTATTTCTTTAGTCACATCCGTTCATCATCATCAGCCCATTTGGTTTACAACTGGCTGGACACATTATGCCTCTTATCCATTAACTTTCACTTAGTTTGTAAGTATTTCTTTTTTTTTCAAAATATAATTTACTTTACTTCTCAGACATCGAATTTCTTTGTCAGTATAATAACTAAATTGTATAAAAATACCCAAAATTTCTCGCCACTTGTAAGTACTTATTCTTTACTTAACTGATGGGTCATCGTTATTTGTAGATCTTCACTCGCCAAAAATATATACTTTTTCATTATATATTTAAAACAAAAAAATACTAATCGTAAGTATTTCTATACAAACATTTTGTCCTAGGTCATAAACAAAAAAGGTGGCTATTACTTTGTCAACCGAGAAATATTGGAAATTACTAAGAATTAATATAAAACTAGGAATGAGATAATTTTAATTCCTCTTAAAAGTTTTCAACGCGGATTCGCGTGCTTGTAAATTATAGCTGCTTAAGTAAATTAGAGGTAATTGCGTTAGGTATACAAACAGAGCAACTCTTCAACTGCTTCCTACAATACGTCGGTTATGAGAACAGGAAGTGAATCATAAAGGATTCCATGACGTCTCTTCTCAGTTAATAGAAACGGGGACAAAGTATTCAGCAATAGTTTAAAAAGAAAGCGTTCAAAAACAACAGGTGCAGGTTGACTTCTTTTTTCTTTGTTTAAATACAAAGCACTTGAAGGAGAACCAAGAAACTCATATAAGTACTTAACGGTAGGATATAATAAGTACATGCATATTTATAAACCGTAATATAGGAATTTATATATTTAACGGATTTTATAAGGAATTTAAATTTCTTGAGGGAAATATTATTTTGCTCATTAAATTTTTGATGAGTGTCTGAATAACAAAAATGTTTTAATATTTATTTTTAGGCAGTCAAGTATTAAACTGTCAAATGAAGACCCCAAAATTTATATCGTGAAAGTTGAAGGTTACGTTCCTTACGTTAAGATTGTAACGTAGAGTAGCTATATTGAATCTCATAATAAATTGACCTCCATCAAAAAAGCCATAATGTAGGTAAGGACTGGCGCTAATCCATAGCGCCTTTCCTGTGGGAAACGTGTAATAAACGTTTTGTTAATTTTCTATAAAACTTTCCAATTTTTGTGTAACCCATATAATGCTTACTAGTAAAATTATAGAGAAAGTAGGTTAGATATAAAATTGGGATAGTGAAGCTCGTAAAATTTATGAGTACTTATCACAAATGTAATTTATGACTTACTTACTTCTAATTTTATTTCTTTACTCACGACTTCTTATAATGTTAAAATGATTTCATTACCTGAAACAATTATTGAATGCAATGAAAAATACATAATGTCGGAATAAAAACTTACACTCCACTAAACTGTTCAACAATACTCTGACATTATTATGTAGGTGTTTCTTTCTGACTTTATATATCTATACTAATATTATAAAGCGGAATGATTTGATTACTTGTTTGTTTGTATTGAAAAGGCTCCGAAACTCATTAGTTCGGAGTACTTTTAAAATCACATTTAGAATCTTACATTATACGTGATGAACTACAGAGTATTTTAAAAAAAAGTTACGGTTCCGTATGAAAACTTCGATAATAAAACCCAAGGCTAAAATATAACCTTATGTCTGTAGGCTGCGGAAGTCCTTGACAGTAGAGCAAAGTGATGATGTACTAAAGTTATATAGAAGACATCAATATCTACAAAAAAGTCAGCGATAGCATATGTCTATCTATTACAGTTTTGTCAAAATTAGAGGTCCCCTGCGGTTTCAACCGCGTTAATTTGAGGAAGAAGGTGAGTTTTTTATAGAACTTTTACAGGGAAACAATTCCGTCAGACATGGTTTCTGAATAACTTTAATCATTTACGCAGCGTACGCAACGGAAGCTCACAAATGGAATATAAGCAACGGGTCCTAAACTACGCAACAAAATTCTCACTATCAGTTAAATAAATTTTCGTGGGATGCTTATCTTTATATATATAATTCTTCTGTGAGTGTGTATGTCACTGAACTTCTCTTAAACGACTGGACCAATTTTGATGAAATTTTTTGTGTGTGTTCAAGGGGATCTGAGAATGGTTTAGATTCACAATTTTGTCCGCTGGACAACCCCTATTTTTTTAGGGCGGTA